CACACCAGTTTTAGATTTTTGCAGTTACACCCCCAAATCTTCCTAAAATCTTTATTTTTGAGCAAAATTTGTCACCAACCAAACAGAAAAAAGAGACCCACGTTTTCTCCCAAGTTTTCTCACCAGCCAAACAGAAACCCAGAACCTAACAAAGAAAAAGATTAAAAAACTTTATTGATTGTCCTTTCATTCCTCATCAACCAAATAAACCCACATAAAAAAATCTGAAAAAAGAAAAAAATTACAGAAGAAAAGCAACAGTTTGAGAATGAATTGACTCTGCAAACAAGCAAAATTGAACAGATTTGAGTATCCTCTTTTACTGTTTAGTTTTTGAAACTTCTACCGCAAATTCTCCACTCTCCAGTCTTCATCCCAACCAAAACCTAACTTTGACTTTAATCACTTCCACTTCCACCCACTTCCACTCCATATGTCCCACATGCCACCTGCTGCCCCTGCCTCATCACTGATCACTGCCCCTGCCTTATCACTGTTCACTACCACGAATATCAACTTTTAAGTTTCGCCTCTCTCTTCACAGATATAATACAAGAGACTTACAAAAATACACCTCAGATTATACACAACTATCGAAGATGTCTGAAGGTAAAAGAACGGAGCCAGAGAAGAGGAAACTGGGGCAAAACGACGACGACGAATCTGGGTCACAAAAAAAGGTGCGAGAAGTTAATAGAGAAGGGACGACTGTGACAGAGGAGAAGTGAAACGAAGACATGAGAAATGGCGACGATGAGTTTGAGAGGAGAAGCGGCGACGATGAGTTTGAGAGAGTTAGGGATTTTGTGATTTAGGGCAAAAACATGGCCAAACCCCAATTTAAAATTTAGGTATCCCTACAAAATGAAAAGGGTAAAAAGAAACGGGTGCTCGCGGGCACCCGTGGGTGTACCTGTTTAACCCGTTGGAAAACGGGTTGGGCCGGGTACGGGTAGAAGAAAAATGGGTCTAATATTAAAGACCCACACCCTATATTTTTTACCCGGGTTTAGGGTCGACCCGCGGGTCCAGACCCATTTTGCCAGGTCTAGGAGTGACACTCAGAGCACCCTGCGAGGACGAACCGGTTCCTTCCTCGGATCTGGTCGTTGAGGGGTCCATTCTACTGGTCTGCAAAAGCGACAAGCAGGGGGGTCATTTAGCCATTGTACGCTACTCCGTACGATGACATGGAAGGAAACAAACTCCCTAAAGCCTAAAGAAAACCCTAACAGAATGATTCAAGCCGCCACTCATGGCTCGAACCCGACATGAGGGACTCGTCTCCGATTAGCTACCGGAAGACTAACGCCATTTATCAACCACGGGAATAGAAAACAAAAACAAAGAAAGATTCTTACCTCTCGGAGTACAAAAATAGCCTCTGCTTCAAATATCAGAAAAACGCTGGTTTGGAAGGCAAAGGTTCCAAGCTTGCTAAAATCTCTTGCTCTCTGTGAAAAAAACGAGTGTGGTGACATTGCCTGAGAAAGATCTGAGTTTTTATAGCACATGAAACGACGCTTGTTTTCTCGGAATCAAAACGACGTTTGGGCGGCAAAAATTTCTCACCGTTGATCACGACCACGTGTCGCAGATCAGTGAGGAAGAGTGAGCGTCACGATTATAGAAAATCAAACCATCATCGTTTTCCGTTGAAAAAACTCAAGCGACGGCACTCTTTCCCTCAGCATTAATTGCGCCCCAATCTGCATTTAATGCACTGATAAGGGGTGTCGTTTCAGCATGTCACACATTTAATGTTCTGATAAGGGATACCGTGTCAGCATACAACGTATTTAATACGCCTAGCTAGCACTTATCACACACAGGACACATCTGTCAGCGCAGAGACTGCTTCATTAAATGCATCCATACCTAAAGTACAACAGATAATGCCTGACGAAGTCAAGTCGCTCATCCTCTGCAAACAATGACCATACGAGGTCGTGTTCGCAAAAAGTGCTACCCCGACCTATTTTCAAGCAGGTCGAAGTCACCGGAATTTCCAGAAATCATCCAATCGCAGCATGACTTATAGTTTCCAAGGTTCGATCCTCAAACCTTAAAAACTGGGGGACTTCTGTTATGCCTGAAAAATATAGGGCTGACGTAAGGTCCAGTCAGCGTGCAAAAGTCAGAGCATGGGTACACTCACAGTCGAGTCACGTGAGGAAAGTGGCAGCCTGCTTCTGTCAGAATAGTAGGTGCGCGTCAGACTAGCTAGAAGCTGTGGTGATTCCACGTGTCCAATCCCTGCTCCAAATCGCGTAAATCACTCTAGAAGATGGGCAATGTGACATAAAGAAGGATTTGTACACTTAATCCCACCAACTCATAGATTCAGTAATCATTAGCCCAATGTATCCCACTATAAATAGAGAGCTCATCTCCCATTCAAAGGATTCGCTCATTTTTACTCTTAATTAGCTACCCTCTGTCTCTATAATATAGCTCTCTCTCTCTCTTGTACTATCATTGGTAAGTCAATCCGCTAACGCGACCTGACCCTTATCATTAATATAAACATCAGTGGACGTAGGACTTGCTATCTTAGCATCCGAACCACTTTAAAAGCTATCCCCATTGCATTTATTCTCATTTTTCTTGCATTCATGTGTGTCTTCTGAGCCAGCTCAACATTGCACACGTGCATTTAGTTGGTGTAAAAATCACGCATCAACAGTTTGTAACAAAAAATGCTACAAATTTTTAAGGTTTCAGCAAAAACTTGTTCTATGAATTGAAGGAATACAATGTTTAATCTAACTGAGAATCTTTAAGATTAAACACAAAAAACAAACAATAGGTGGTCACTAAAATATTCCATGAACCACCTCTAAGTGGTCAAGTGATTCAATAGGGACTTTTGGATGTACTCAAGAGGTCTTGAGTTTAAGTCCCTTCTCAGTTGTTAATAGGGATAACCACTGGAGTTATTATAGGGTCGGTAGTTCTAGGATACCAGGGGATTCGTTGAGGTGTGCGTAAGCTGACCTGGATACCCCCGATTATAACAATATATATATTCCATGTACCTAAGAATTTTATTTCACATCCTTTGACTAGATCACCTAAAGTAGGAAAAGCATATTTTATTTGTTAAGAATTTAAAAAAAAAAAAAAAAAAACCAGAAAAGAATCAAATTCTTAATGACGCTTGGTCATGTCATTTGGCTACATATTAAATTTGGTTCAAATGTTTAATGATATATACGCTTTTGAGGTTTTAAAAGAAACTTGAAGCTCATTCCTGGGCACTAAGGCCAATTCAATTGGTTGTTGAAAAATTGTGCAAATAGCTTATCAAACGTGATGTCTTCTGTACTATTTCTTAATTTCTCTGCATATGATGCAACCATGCGCTATTTAAAGCCTTGGAGAAAAAAAAGTGCTTTTAATTGTTCTGCGAATCAAGGCCTAAGAAAAATAAGAGCTCAGGAATGCGCAGAGTAGAATAATCACCATGTTATCAGTATAGTTTTCTTTTTTTCAGTTGAAAGAACTATTCCAAATAAGATTGATTCTGTNTGGCGCTTGGTCATGTCATTTGGCTACATATTAAATTTGGTTCAAATGTTTAATGATATATACGCTTTTGAGGTTTTAAAAGAAACTTGAAGCTCATTCGTGGGCACTAAGGCCAATTCAATTGGTTGTTGAAAAATTGTGCAAATAGCTTATCAAACGTGATGTCTTCTGTACTATTTCTTAATTTCTCTGCATATGATGCAACCATGCGCTATTTAAAGCCTTGGAGAAAAAAAAGTGCTTTTAATTGTTCTGCGAATCAAGGCCTAAGAAAAATAAGAGCTCAGGAATGCGCAGAGTAGAATAATCACCATGTTATCAGTATAGTTTTCTTTTTTTCAGTTGAAAGAACTATTCCAAATAAGATTGATTCTGTGGAATTTCCCAAAAGCACCAAACCTTTTTCTTTTATCTCAACAGGAGTAGCCACTATAACTCTTCTGTGGTTCTGGCCCCTACCATAAAAATAAAAAAAGCCTATCTGGGTTTACAGCTGATGAGAAACTTGCCCATAGACAAAACAAAGAGGCCTTAAAATTTCAGACGTTTCCCTCCAAATGATTCGTTTAGTTTAAGTTGGACAAGTTATTGGTGCTCTTATAATTATATGGTGTCCAAAATACAATCTGAGAAAGAGTGAAGGGAAATAATTCAGGGGGAATCAGAATAATCCCATGAAGATATGATTCAAAATAATCAATTTGAAAAGCAATGGAAGTAAACAGTATCATAAGACAAAAGGTCCAAAAATGAGTTAGATTAGAAGCCAGTTCAATATCTGAATCCAATATCTTTTAGAAATTAATGCTGTCCACTCTGTATGCCATTGACATTGAACTCTTAATTTGTATCATTTTATGGTCATTCAATGAACCTGCTGCCATTTTTATAAAGGTTCACTTTCGTTTGAGGATCATTAAGTTGCTTGTCAGTAACATCTAACATGTTTAGATTCGTGTAAATCATTGGATTTTGAAAATTAAAAGTAATGTTGTACTATAAACAAATTCAAAAAAGAAATTCCAAAAGGGAGGAAAATGTAATAATAGAATGCAGGAGAGATTAAAACTTGAATAGAAGAAGAATAGAAAAAATTTATCGGTGCTTTCTTCTATAGCTTATTCACATGGGATATCAAATGCAATTCGGCCAAATGAATAAAAGAGAAAATTTGACAAATATATAGTGACACATAATATTATATTATTAGATGATCTTATCATGTCAACAAAGTAAGGTGATACTGTCTTAAATAAGTTTTGTCAAATAAAAGAATACCATTTAAAGTCTTGTCCACATGTAAAATAGGTGGAAAGACATATCACAATTAACTATATATACTCTCTTTTACATTCAATTCAACTGTTGAAATGAGCTGTTACAGTACATTATGAATATCACATCAATAATATAACAGTTCATCAGTTAGTCTATAAAAGAGGACATTTCTCAAGTCTCATTGGATATATCGTTGACAGCCATTGTAAAGCTTGAGAGAGTGTGGCTGTGAGTAAGAGACAGAAGGAAAGAGAGATGGGAGGAAATCAAAGGACGAGCAGTAAGATATCAAAATGGTTGCAGGAGATTAAAAAAGTGAGAGCATATTTGTTGGAAGTGTCCATTCAGTGTGGCTACGCAGGGATGTTTGTAATCACCATGGTTTCTTTGAATCATGGAATGAGTCACTACGTGCTTGCAGTCTATCGCCATGTGGTTGCTGCACTTGTTATTGCACCCTTCGCTCTTGTCCTCGAAAGGTCTGTACACCATTTTGTTTCTGTTCCTGCTTAATATCCTTCTTTTTTGGCTCAAATTTGATGATAAAAATGGCTGCATCATTGAGTGATAACGTTGATGATAATGTTTTGGCGCTTTATGCAGAGGAAGAAGGCCAAAGGTGACACTCCCCATCTTCCTTCAAATAATGCTGCTTGGTTTTCTGGAGTAATACTCTTAACAACTTGTTTATAATTATAAAAACTTTTAATTACATGTTTAGCTGACCAATCAATGTTTAAACGGGTATGATGTAAATCACTAAATTAATCTTGGTGATGTTTGGATTATGTATAGGCCAGTGCTTGACCAGAATTTATACTATCTGGGAATGAAGTATACCACTGCAACATTTGCATCTGCAACTGTCAATCTTGCTCCTGCATTCACCTTCATCATGGCAGTTCTTCTCAGGTTAATTTAAGTTTTAAATTATTAGTTCATTATTATCTTAGATCTTCAGCAAAAATGCTAAGGCATAAGATCCCAGAAAGAGCAACTTTTCAGAAAGGCTCGTTGTGCGCAGATGCCAGCACAGTGGGAATAATAGCTCTAGACTTTCAGTAGTCAAATCATACTGCAACATCTTAATCAGTGCTATATTAATATTCAAATCTAGTTTATTAGGACTATATCATCATATTAAAATGCAAATGGACGCATTATATATATGCATTACCAAATAATTCCCACTTTTTATATGTTATTATTTTTTCATAGTAATGTTATCTTTTTCTTAATTTCTATATTTTAACATTATATAAGATATAACTCACTTTTGCTTCTGCTGTTAGTACGATAATAATAGAAGTGGGAGACAGAATCATCTTACTACTTAGAAAAAGAATGGCTTCAAACAACTTGCTGCACAACAAAGATCCCCCACAAATAAAAAAATATCATATATATGTATAAAAGCGTGTAACCACTCTTTATGATCAAAATGCTCACCATATATACATGCTTGCAAAATTGAATATATAATAAATCAAGTGATCTTATCCCTCATAATTTTAACTTTTTGGTAATGTTTCCCCGATTGATATGCCAGTAACAGGCAATAAATCGAGAGAATCTGAGAGAATTAGTAAATGAACAAAAGAAAATGTCAGTATGAGAACCATAACTGAGATGAACTATATGCATTAATTTTATCAGTGGATTTTACAGCATAGTAATTTGTTGATGAACAGGTTAGAAAGTGTTAATATTAAGAAAATTCAAAGTCTAGCCAAGGTGATTGGAACTGCAATAACGATCATAGGAGCCATGGTGATGACATTATACAAAGGTCCCATCATTGATTTTATAAAATCAGGAGGAGGAAGCCACCACAGTGCCAGCAATGAATCAGCTACAGGCAAGCATTGGATCAGCGGAACCATAATGCTCCTAATCGGTTGCTGCGGCTTTTCAGGCTTCTTCATACTGCAAGTGAGTAGGAGACTCAAAAAATATATATTCTTATTAGGTGTTTATTTATATATTAATGAATACGTTTTCTTTTTCCCAGTCAATCACGATAAAGAAGTATCCGGCGGAGCTGTCTCTTACAGCTTTGGTATGTTTAATGGGAGTGGTGGAAGGCGCTGCTTTGACACTTGCGATGGAACGTGACATGAATGCCTGGAAAATAGGCTGTGACTCCAGGCTCCTCGCCGTTACTTACTCGGTCAGTAACAAATATATATTCAATTATTATATGTTGCAATTGAATCTGATCTCTTTTTTCTTGTTCTTGTTGGTTTATAATTAAATTACTGGGAAGGTGAATGATTAATGAATTTTAACATGAGATTAATCAATTAATCAGGGGCTGGTATGTTCTGGAATTGGATATTATGTACAAGGTGTAGTGAACAAAGATCAAGGACCAGTGTTTATAGCGGCTTTCAGCCCTTTAGCCATGGTTGTCACTGCAGCTTTAGGGGCCATATTTTTGGCTGAGCAACTCTATCTGGGAAGGTGAAAATGTATTTTTATTATTACCAGAATTTGATTATGGATCAGTACTATTACTTACAACTTGTACATGTGGTTATATAATTATTTTCAGCATAATTGGAGCCATTTTCGTAACTTTGGGACTTTACACTTACGTGTGGGGCAAAAGCAAAGATCTTCCAAGCTCAGCAGCACCATTCACAGTTGAGAAAGGCGATCATCAACAATGTGAACTTCCTGTTACAAACAATGATACGTCAATCAAAGTTGAAAATTCAATCGATGGGGCCTGCCACAATTCCACCAAATAACACTTCAGTGCTTCACTTTATATATATATATATGTTCTCAACAGGAACCAATTTTTACTTTGTTGGTTTCGGCATTGGTAACAAATCAGTTATTTTTCTTCGTTTATCCAAAGAGTATAAGTGGATGAAATTTGATGTATAATTTTCATGTGTAATCGGGAAGATAATAATTGAACAATTACCTTTTGGTATGGCTTGAACATTAATTATATTTCATCATATACAATAGCAGTAGGCAAGATTCTCTGTCATTTATGGATTATAAAGAAGGCGTAAGCCAGAAAAGAATCAAGTTCTTTCCTTGTATTTGACCATGAATAGAAAAGAAAATAACCTACTTTAATCTTACTAGTGAAGAATTTGAATCAAATTCTACTGAGAAGCAATTGTGAGAAACTGAGAATAAAGAATGTCACATGCGCATAACCTCTATCAAAAACACCTGAGAGAAACTTTTTATTCTAATCACCCTTGGATGGTCGGATGAGACAATAGAGACTCTTGAGTATGAGAAGTCTTGAGTCTGATTTTTTTCAATTGTTCATAGGAATAGTCATTAAAGGGTTTATCTGGTTATTAATTTTATGGTCCTGAGAGATTAGTTAAAATATGCATAAACTAGACTAGACACCCCCTATCACCAAAAAAAAAAAAAAAAAAAATTGTTCTTTTTGGCGACCAAACATAATCAATAGTTCAATACCAATCAAATTTTTTCTAATAAAAATTATTATCTTTTCACGCTCTTTCGGTAAAAGACGAAGCCCACTTCATAATTTACAAGAACAAGCCCATTCAAGTCACAAAAACAGACCTGGCCATGTTTATTAAAAGATAAAATAAAATAATACAAACAGCGTCAGCGATACTGATTGGCCTCTTTCTTGTTTTTTGTCATCGTTCTGGTATATTATAAGCGAAACAATACATTTGATTTGAGTGAGGAGACAAAAAATGGTGATGTGGGTATTTGGGTACGGGTCTCTAATATGGAAAGTTGGGTTTAACTATGATGTTCGTCTTGTCGGTTTCATCAAAGGATATCGCCGTGTCTTCTACCAAGGTACTTTTTTTTTCCCTTCAATATCTGTGTACGTGAACGCTGAGTTAACTCTTTTTTATGATTAGGCAGTACTGACCACAGAGGCACCCCCGAGAATCCTGGAAGAACAGTCACTTTGGAACCTGCCGACGGTGAAATCTGTGTTAGTTTTTTCACTTTTGAACCTTTCCTTGTTACTGTTGTTAACGTCAGAAGATTACATCATATTACTTACAAGTGGCAAACACCATGCAATTGATCCCCAACAATGTGGGACTTTTCATTTCATTCGATCGTGTATTGTCTACATGGTGTATTGCACAATTGTGGGGTGGTTTTGATGCATTGAATTTATGTTTTGATGATTTTGATTTATGTTTATAGTCTTATAGGATGCTTGACTGCAATGATTGTTAAGTGTTGAATGATTTTTATTTGATGGGTCAAAAATTTGCAATGTTGTTGTTCCTACATAGAAATGAGGGGCAACATCAAAGATACAGGTGATTCAATTATGTGCGAATGCTTTGCTGTATCAAATGAGACCAATTTGTGACATAGTTCTTTTGTTTTGCGAGGTGATAGTGGGGAGCTGCATACAAGATTTCCAGGGAAGAGGACAAAGAAATTGCAATAAATGTATGGTTCATTATTTAAAATTTCAGGAATTTCTTTGTTGCCTTAGTAATCATATGCCTTATTATGTTAAGAACGAAAGATGCCATTTGTCATACTCAATATAAACCAGTGTGATTGTGCTCTACAGTTTATTGTATAATTGCTTTGTTGATTTTGCAACTATCAATTGTGAGTGGCAAACCAGAGATTTTTTCAGATCGAGAAGTACTTTCAGTAGAACTAAGATAATTTTCATATACCGATAGCCTCAAAAAGTGTTTTTGTTGATTTGCTCATCCTGGTAGTGGTATACTGAAGAATTTGTTGCCTATGTTTTTTGATTTGATTCTTGATTATGGAAGAGTTTGTATTATTCTCAGCATTGCCTCTCTATGATGAACATAATTGTTGCTCGTCTTTTAAATCCAAATTTATCAATTTTGCTTGCCTATTATTAGTGCAAGATGCAATATTAATTTTGAAGATCTTACTGATCCCCAGACTAATTACATAATACATTGGACCACTGCCAATAAGTACTATGAGTATGACGAATGAAGCCAAATTTTGGTTGAGAGGCTAGAAAAATTATTTTTTAGTTATTGCATACATCATTGTCAGTTTGTGTAGCACTTCATCCTCCATAAATTCTTTACTATGCCTGATATGTTGCAACTATACAGGAATCGGTGTTTTATTTTAACTGGGAGCTTGTAACTGTTTGTTGATGCAATTAATAATTTGTTCCCTTCTTTCTCTTTATGGCACAGCATTTAGAAGTGAGGGAGAAACAATATGACCAGAAAGCTTACATTGATTTCTTTACCGTGAGTTCCAAATGTGAAACTCTATTAGCTTTAAATGCAGATATTGTTTTAAGTTTAATCAGTAATGTAATATCAACTGAGTTTGTTTTTTCAGGACCCCACAGCCACAACTCCTGTTGTCACTGGAGTAATGGTGTAAGTGGAAGAAACATCATTAAACTGTCAAACTTATACATGTTAGATTTCCAAAATTAACCAGATTATAATTACACCATCATTCTCTAGATACATTGCGTCTGCAGACAAGAAGCAGAACCAAAACTATTTGGGGCCTGCATCTATTGAAGATATTGCCAAGTATGTCTCTTCTGCCTCTTTACCTTTGCTTAACTTTATGCAGTTACATGCTTCTTATTCAATTCATTGAGCAATTTTTGAACCTCAGTTCCACTTGTATGAATGTCACTTGAGAGACATTGGTTTAAGTCATTCTTGACCTTTTTTTTTTTTTTTTTTTTTTTTTTTTTTTTTTTTTTTGGGTTCAATTTGCAGACAAATTGTGAATGCTGAAGGCCCCTCAGGACCCAACAGAGACTACCTTTTCCAACTTGAAAAGGCTCTTCTTGAATTTGGTAAGTTTCTTCATGACCCCCCTTTGGATTTGTGTATGACCAAAAGTAACATTATTAGTGTTTGTTTTACCTGAAAATACCGTATTTGTATGCACAGGATGCAAAGACGAACATGTAATTAATCTTGCAAATGAAGTGAGGCGCATTCTTTCAGAGTCAGAACAACTTTCGAATTAATCTAAAGTCCGCTTGCTGTTGAGTTTCCAATTGTCCATCATTTGCATCATTATCCATTCTGAGGCTGACCGCATTATTTTTTTTCTTATTTATAAGGTCATATCAATAATGCTCCTGATAATGGCCCTGCTTTCTTATGCCATTTGGCAGTGACTTCTACGCGGTTTCATTCATGTATCTCTACTCGTTTATTGTTCAAAGCATCTTATTGATAAATAGCACCTACCATAAATGATATATCATATCTGTTTCCTTTATATTAGATAATGATATAATAAATCTGTCTCATCTAAGATATTTTGGTTTTGGAGAATATCACTTTTCATAAATAATTGTTCAAAAAAGCAACCCCTTTTCACTAATTAATTATTTCATGTTTTCTTTTCAATCTTTAAAAAACCATGTAATGTTATAAATGAATCAGCAGAAGTAAGCTCATCTTTTACACATAATAGTGCAGTCCACCCCGGCAAATAGAAACCAAAATAAACAAGTATTTCATATTATAGGAAGAACATTCAAGAGGGCCTCGACGTCTTTTATACATTTATAACTAAATATAAGTCATGACTGAAATGTTAACATACAACAATCTACGCTTAAATCTACTCTACCTTCTATAGGGAAGATAGCCTTAAAAATTACTAAATTGACTATAGTCTAAAATTCCTAATAGGCAAAGGTGTCAACAGGTTCTCCATCAAAGGTCGCATGTTGCCACACCCAGTACAAAGTAAAATCAAATTAAAAGGATTAATACATGATACATCATTATTCTCCATAAAAAATTGAAGCTCCTCTCATCAATCATCTACCAACTCCTACCGCACGCAATATTTAATCACTGTCCTCGGCCTCCTCTGCAACTATTGGGTAAATATGATGTTAGGGAACAAACAAGTATAAGCCAAACCAGCAATCACAGGATCCAAGTCCTTGTATCCATTGAGTGTGTTGATAATCCATTGTTCCTGATGTAAATAACAAACAAAATAAAGTGGGCAGAATAGATCCTTAAGACTTACCCTCATTTCCTTCTTCACTCTTGCTACCGTGATCACCGCCATCATTATTGTCATCATCATCATTGTCACTGTCATCATCACCATCATTGTTGCTGTGTTCAGTATCACTACTATCGCTTACCTCTGGTATTTTGGGCTTTGGTGGAGGTATGAAACTGGTTGTGGACCTTCTTCGTGAACTTGTCACAATGTTACTCATGTCAATGCCTTCAAGTTCTCTTGCTCTTTCCTTTCTCTTTTTGACTTCCTTGATTTCTACGGATATATTGTTCCAAAAACAAAAGAACACAACTTATCAATCTTAATGCATCGAACATGCTGCATACATGTTAGGGTCTGTGCAATCCCATTAGTAAAACAAGGACCAGTTTCAGACCAATATTAACCTTCATAACAACAAGACTCTAAAATCTGACCAGTAATGACCATTTTTCTACTCATGGACCAAGGTCCTGCAACCTCAAAGACCCTAGATGCCTTAAGCATCCATATGAAGATGCCATAGATCTTATGAGAACACAAGGACAGGGTTGGCCCACAAATCTTCTTTCAATGCCCAGGAGAGGATGCATATCAAGCAATTAACAAGAAAGAAGAAGATTCCACCCAACTTCAGCTCTAATGGAAGAGGAAAGAAACACTGTTTCAGTTTGTAAGACAAAATCTGATCCTATTTACCTTGGGGATTATAAAGAGAAACCTGCAAACTTCAAATCTTCTCATGTGACCATTTATTACTACACAAGTTATTCTTTGAAAGACAGTTAACCCTTCAATGCTTTTCAAAAATCCTAGCTCTGTTTGTGGAAATGTGAGAACAAATGTTACTCAACCTAAATCATACTTAGCTTGGGTGAGTGAAGATTGAGAAAGTAAATAGGCCTGTATCTGACTTTTTTTTTCCCCTTTATTTTTGCTTGAAACAAGTGACAAGATAACAAACACTTAACTCTCATTCTGAATGTCTGCCATCAGCAAACATAGTACCTCAGACTGACAGTTTGCATGTAAAGCTAGGAAATACAATAGGAATGCGTACCTTTTTCAGAAGGATTTGAAGACAGTCCTTCCCTAGAAAGTATGTCCTCCAATTCCTTTATTAGTTGAGTTTCACGTTTATTCTCAGGAACCTGCTTGACCTTCTTGTAAATTGAGGGAGGAACACTGTAAAAGAAGTAAACAATGTGAAGGCATCAATCTAGACAACAATGTAAGCTCACAAATTATGAGTTTAAAGTAGAACCTCATCCCACATGATTTGATTACTGTTTTTAGATGCTCTACGCGTTTCCCGTATGCTGGAGTTGAAACTTCTTTTTTCTGCATTTGCAAACAAGATGAAAATAGTAAGATGGGTCTGATCAGCCTTCAGATTTTGGAGAGATCTTAGAAAAATAAAAAGGACGACCTTCACAGGTTTCTCAGCAGATGATTGTGATGGATCATCTTCAGACACAATCTCACTCTCTTCTGCATCACTATTATCCTTTGACACTGTTTTTGTAGCCTTGATATGCTTCTTGCCAGATACCTTGGTTTCCTTTTCCAGTCTTTTCCGTTTTTTAAGCCCTTCAGAATTCTGCAACTTTCCTTTTGAAACAATTTTCTTTCTGGGTTTTACATCATCTTCTTCCTCTCTGGTCTCACTTTCTGATGAATCAGAACTTCCTTGACTAGTGACCTTTTTCGATGCTTTGTTATGAGAATTGTTCTTGAGGTTTTTCTTCTTTTCCACAGTTGAAGGTTTCAAAACTTCATCGGATCTCAGTACCTGATAAATACCAGAGGTAATTACTGGATAGTGAATTATATAAAGTACCTCTAATAGATATATGATGCATCTTCAACAACTCACCTCATCTAATTTCTCACTAATCAACTTCTTATATGGATCAAGAGCATATTTATCAAGTTTAAAATCTTCCTCCAACAATCGACGAAGTCCAGCCATTGTAATTGTCCTGAGAGAAAGCAAGAGATAGGTATTTGTTTCAATCACCTGAACCCCAGGAAAATATACAGCAAAAAAATGATTCGACTGAAAACTTATATGTTTCATAAGCATAGGGAAAATGAACATAAATGCATATTATGATCAAAGAGGCTGTATACAAATGAAGCAATAGTAATACAATTAATGACATTTCAAGTGATGAAGTAGCATACTCAGAATTAGCTTTGATGTAAGCAGCTCTTTTTCTGATGGCTATCTTTATTGCGCTCTCACTTGGAGGTTCTTTATCATGGCCTTGAGTTTCCTCAGCTTCAGATTTAGGTGTTTTATTTCCGGTCAGAAGGCCCAATACAGGAGAGTCTTCCATTTTCTCTGCATCTTCGGAGCAAGGTTCCTTTACATCTTTTGTTGACTGACGACTTTCAGGCGATTTTTCTCCTTCTCCTCCTTTTGTTGAACAAACATTTGGTTTAGCAGTTTCCCCAGAAGTATTTGAGGCATTGTTGTCACCAGCAACATTCATGCACTAAAATTAAGAATTTATCCAACACAAGCAAACATGAGATATAAATAATACTTTGGACACCTTTTATCAACAGTCAGAACTCAAGAATGAAAAATTGGTTAGCATGTAAAGTCTAGTATAATGATGATGATGAAATATTTGTGATAAGAACAACAGGAATGGCAACTTAATACAAGTCATAACAACGAAATGATGATGATAATATAACCTACCAGAGATTTTTATAAGACTAAAAGAACTATTTGCAAGCAACATTAAGTTGCACCAAATTGCCAAAACCCAACAAGAGTATGCACATCTTTTCCAAATCTCTAAGATTCAATGTTCACGTATTGGAAGGTCAAATAAAAGAGATTTTAAGTTTCACTAGACTGTACCCACAAACAAGCAATTAACAATTTCCAATAAACTGAAGACTACCAAAATTTATTTTCTATGATAAATGATAAGTAATTACCAAATCACTTTACTCAAAAACAAGCAATTAGAAGAGATATTTAAAGCATAACTGAATGTGCAAGAAAACAAAAAATGAACATCATGACACATGCTTTCTAATATAACCACTAATATAATACATGGATAAAGACTGAAGAAGTATTTGGATATAAAAAGGGTACCTCCGCCAAACATTGCTTTATAAATTTCTTATACACATCCAGAGCATATGTCTCTACCCCGAGGTCCTTCTCTAACAATCTCCGAACCCCCTCAAGAGTCAAAGAACTGCAATTGGGAACAAATTGTGACAACTATTCAACCGCTCTCATTTTTGGTACATAGAGTAACAATTCAAGCTAAGGTATTAATTAAGATACCATGGAATAAATTGAATCAGGATCACCACATATATTGTAATGACTACACGATAATCATAAAATATTAAGCACAACCCAAAAGAAAAAAAAAAACATGAGATTACATAGCAAGGACCATTTGCATGCAAAACTATATTTGGCCACAAAAGAATGAGGAAATCAAGGAAGCTAAACAGAAAGTAGTAAGTGAATCACCAAGAAGGCAACAATCTTCAATCAACATTTAACGTTATCACACACAATGGATTTTCTCATCCTCATTTCTTTATTTAGACATTGAATTGAACTTCGGCACATCCTATAACCTAGAAAGAGGAACCAGAGGAATATCATTTAGAACACAAGACTAAAAGAAATAGGGAGGTCAAAAGCATTTATTAACTCCTTTAACTCTATTTTTCCATATCATATAGAAGACAAAACTAAATAACATACTTTTCATCACCAATTGACAAGAGACCATATTCAAACAAGAGTCTTTCTTTCACTTCTTCCAAAAACTCTTTTTAATTTCCATCAAGTTTATTTCCAACAATTTTTTCTTTCCATACATCCGTAGTGGATTTCACCCCAAAAAAAAATGGCAGTTGGAATATCAATGGCGGCTCCATTGTCAATAAGGCAAAAGCCAAAAAGATACCAATGCTCTTTTTCTAATCTGCTGCGTACAATCTTCTACCCTCTGCTTATGTGCAAAGTGGATTAAACATAGTACTTGTAGTGAACCATCAACGCAACATTCAACATCAAAATATCATCCATGGCCGGTCCCAGGACCCTCCCTTGTTCAACTATCCTACAACCCACAAACTTCTGTAACAAATAGAATATAACAATTATTCACCCTTAAACCCCCTTGAGAAAGCTTACACCAGCAAAATCACCTTTCAGTCATTAACACAAAAGTCCAGACAAGGATCCATTTCCACTTCGAACCAAATTCAATCATAGGAAGTGAAAATCTTACACACATAATGCTAGCTCAAAACACCTATAGCACACTTGAGCAGCACCGTCCACAAGATAAAAACGATTCACGGCCTTAATTTTGTGAACAAGGTCAATTTTTTTTTTTTAATCAAAAGTAGGATTATACTCAGCCTTGCATTGTTTCTCTTTCACGTTTTTTATTGCTTCTCTTTTAATTAATCAATGTCTCAGAATTAAATTAAACATAATCCCCTAGCAGTCCCCAACTTTCTCCAACAATCCCCGTTCAATAGTAAAACAAATTAAACCACAAAAATCAATTTTCTAAACACGATATGCACATAATTGAGCAAACAAATCACTCAAAAAAAAAAAAATTTGACTTTCTACTCCTTCATTGAACAACTAAACATAGATATGTACAGAGAGTGAGAGTTTATAAGTGTGTACTCGGCTTGTTCTTTGAAGTGAGAAATGCGAGAGTGCATGGCACCCTTAATTTGGGACTCCATGTTATCGTGCGCGTCGTTCTTCACAGTCTCGCTATCTTGCGCTTCTTCGGTCATTCTCAGTCGGCTTCGAGTGTGTGCGAGTGTTCTCTTCTAAGTACTCAGAAAAAAGTCTAATGGAGCATGAAGGGAAGAAATACTGAGAGGAAAGTTTACTGTGTATCAACCGTATGTAACCAGAGTTTCTTTAAGATCCGGACCGTTGATTTTGTTGTGTTTTTTGATTGACTGGAGTACGATGCCAATTGCGTACGTCACGTTTACTTCAAGTGATATTATTACTGTACATCACAGCAGTCCAACTTAAAGTCGTAAATATTTCAACCCCATAACTTAAGAGTGTTCATTCCGGGAGCCTTGTATTTTTTGAAGGAATCAGAATCAGAATCGAAATTGACGGTTTCAGTTCTTGGATACCTAGAACCAGAACATATAACAATGGTTTCGCTTCCAAGTACCTTGTAAATTCAGTTACCCCCAAAAGTTTTTAAAATGATAAAAAACTCTTAAAAATATACAAATATCCCCCTCCCCCCTCCCCGCGGCACTTGTTAGTAAAAATAAAATTACAATTACAAATTCTATTATTTTGAAAAGGTAGATTCTCAAAAGTCAAACTAACTTTTTTAAATATTATGAAATATAAATACAAATGTATTCACGTTACTTTTTCTATAAAATTTTTTATTAACCCCCCTCTCTTTAATTTTATTTTATATTAGTCTCGGTTTCCAATTTCCGTTCCTGACTGTAACCGGAATCGGAACCGTACAGTGACGATTCCAAAAATTTAGAATCGAAATCTACCCGTTGACGAAGAATTCCGGGTAGGAACAGGAACCAAACCCCGGATACCCATCGGTTCCAGTTCCAATCAGTTCTTTTGAACACCTGGCATAACTAGTTAGCAATCATTAAGAAAAATAAAGGGTGAAGTATAAATTTATAACTAAACCTTATGGGAAAATTATATATTACAGGACTTGAGGGGTCACTTTAAAAATACAGACTTTATCCCCAAAGGCAGCAAAATACATTACTATTTATAATCGCCTCCCTGCCGTACGCTGTTCCAAATTTTACTTTCAGACACGCAACGACAACCATCACGAACTTAAAACGACATCAAGAACAAACTCGAACGGCTTAGGGTTCCTACAAACATTTCTCCGGATCAAAAATCATGGGAGGCCACGAGGCGATAGAGGTAGCGAAAACCGTCATTGAGGTGGCTGACGTGGCATGGAAAGCCGTCGAATGTTGCCACCACCACCACGAGGAGACGGAAACCAAGGCCGTCTGTAGAGGAGAATTGGAGTCTCTTAAATCGGAGAATCTCCGTTTAAGAAACTTGCTGGAGCAGAACCTTAAGTTACTTGAAAATTTGTCAGAATCGCCTTGTTTGTCAAACGACTGTCCTCCTGATGTATGTGTTTGTCGTTTTGGAGCTTTTTAATATAAAGATGTTTTTTTTCCTTTAATTGATGTCTATTTACTGTGATTTTCAATCTGAAAACGGCTTGAATTAATGAGAATTTGTTTTGTAATTGTAGTTGTATGCACGGCTAGTGGCTACCGTGGATTCTGAGGAATTCTTGTCTAGGCTAAAAAAATTTCGTCAGGAATCGATTAATGGAACTGGGATTGAGTTTCCTTTCAAGGAGGCTACAGGTTTCCACATCTGTCCAAGTTAGTTTTTAATGCTATAGGTTTGGAACTTGGTAATGACTTCATTTGTGGTTTTTTTTTTTTTTTTTTTTTTTTTTTTTGTTTTTGGTTATTTACTCATATGATTACGTGCGATCGGCTGGAATTTTGATTAATGTTGACCAAGAAAATCCCAGTTGGTGGGTTTGGGTGACGGATGAAATGGTACCGAGTAATGTCGAGGAATGGAGTGGAATTGATGATGAGAGTTATGTAGTTGTTAGCGAGGAGCATGTGGTTGATGGGGTTGCTAATTTCATGGCTAAATGCATTTTTTCTAACCCAAAAGCTCAGGTATATTACCACTCAAATGTAAATGGTCATGGTTTGTTTTGTATGATGTAACTCACATCATTTGGTTACATGGAATTGCAGAATGTGACACCAGAGGAGCTGCAGAAAAGTAAGTCTGCCTTTGAACTGTTTGATTTTGAAAGTTATTCTCTTTGTGATTTTTGTTTTCAGAATCTAATGAAGGTTGTATATAGCTCCCGTTTTGTTGCAACTTTGTCATAGTTTCTTGTAGTAGGTGAAGGTTTACTGAGTGATATGAAACTAGTTTCAAAGCGCCAACGTGTGTTGTTTCTTTCTTTCTTTTTTGAGAATTGATGCTTTGAAACTAGTTATCTATTTTCTGTGTCTGGTGCTTGACAGTTTTTCAAATCTTCCTAAGTTTAACTTCAAATGTGTGGCACCTTTCTCACAAATTTAGAGCTCTCTGCTTCTAGGTGCTGCCTATGTGGCACTCCAATGAACTGAGTTTTACCCAACTTTAAATGATTATTGATCTTTTTAATATTATTTATTTGCAGTTCTGGCAAAAGCATTAGGTGGTGGGGGCAAATTGAGCAAATTAGAGAAGATTTTTGGTATCTGGCATGCTGGAAAGATGTTTTATGCTCTTTCCACCTGGGGACTTGCACTGACAGGGTGAGTTTTGCCTGGTTCTTTTGTTATTGTATACATGCTTTTGAGATTGCCACTCTGAATCCTCTGCTTCCCTTCAAGCCAAAAGTAGTGACCTCATATGTTAAAAATTTTGGTTACTAGTAATAATACCTGAAGTTGATTCATGATCTGCATTAACGGGGAGGGGACAGCATTAGTAGGTTGTGGTGTAAACTGAGGCAGCTATCTGCATTATGTACTAGTACATGTGTGGATCTGGTCTAAAAAAGCTTCAGTCTTAAATCTTTTACACAGTGTCACAACCATTCACTGGCAAGAAGGCATTTTTCATCTCTTCTTAGATATGTTATAGAAATCCTATAGACATAGGTTGCAGGAGTTGCTGTGTCTAGGGTTGTGAATTTGGAAATTGGATTAGTTTTGGTTTGGATATTCTTGTTCACCTGAACCTGGTTCCAAAAAATAAATTGACAAAACAAGCGCCAGATCAGCTTGGGTTGCTCCCTGTTCCGCTGAAGTAACAGACTGAGCCTTTTTAGTTCTTTGAAATTGTTCACATAACTGAATAAAATAATACTTAGGAATGGAATCAAACCCACCAAATTAGTGGGGATGTTTTTGAAAGCGGAAGGAAAAGAATATGCTATCTTATATTTGTGATGCTTCTTTTTCCTAATATGAGTTTGGTTTGCAGGTTGTATAGGAGTCGTGCTGTACTGAAACATGCTGCAATGGGTGCTCACATGGCCAGCAAAGTTGTTCTGAAGGCCCTCTGAAGATATCCACTGAAATGAAATCACGAAATGGTGTAAATGAACTATATTAATGGTAGGAACCGGGTTATCAATTTGTTTGGGGAGCAACAAAACTTGATAATTCTCGATTTATTGTCAAGTGTGCATTATTTTAATTTGTTAATGCTGTAAATATGTTGGCTTTGTGTCATGTTCTGTCAATGACATTTATATGGATTGATTCAAACTCAATTCTTGGTAAATATATTGAATCTTTTGTTTATTGCGAATTATTAGTCAGTTAAAAAATGGTAAATCATCTTTCCTGGATTATCATTTCAATTGAATTTCTTTCCTCGGTTTTAATGGGCCACCCAGGTCTCGAAATTTGTGAAGCGAAAATACAGTTATGGATTTAAGCTATTAAATGAGGTAAATTTATTTGCCATTAAATGGTTTATGATCTATATTTATAGAACCTATATATAAAACGTGAGATATGTTAATTATCTAGCGCTTAATTACAGGTCTTTTTGAAAGCTGAAACCAAGTATAATCATTTCATCGAACAAGATTAAAAAATAAAAGCTAATTTTACATGAATCTCATAAGCTTACCCAGGCTTATTTTAGCATTAGACAAGTTGGCGGGATGATAACATCATTATACATATATTAACAAAATTTTCATATTTGTTTCAACTTTCAATCGTCTAAATAAAACCCTTCATCATTGACCATAACAAACTATACATTGCTCAAATTTGCATGACTATTGTATAAATTAGCTTCAACTGTTTGGCGGGGCAATAAATAGAAAGGAAACAAGACACCACCCATACTCAAAAATGTTCAATAGTCGGCACAAGATTTCATTAAATCGGAATCTTCTTGTGCTGATTGCACCCATTGTTGACAACTTCTGTTCCCCTATTGATGTCTCTCCATGCAAGCTCTGGGAAAAGAGAAATAATCACATGATAGCTCAGGAAAGACCGAAAGAGGACTGTGTGGCTTTTCTGGTGATAACAGCTTGATCTGCTTTACCTATAAAAAAAAAACTTCGAACCATCCATTTCTTTTCCTTTTAAAACTATAATGCCCGAGTTCTGTTTAAGAATTTTAAACCCTCTCCATCCACAATATTTTGATAAACATCAATTCTGTGACTTAATCTTCTGAACAAACCGCAGCTCTCCGAGTGCTTTATCAAAAACTAGATATATGAAATCTACTTGGGAAGAAAATTGTAACAGAAAAACCAATTAATATTAACTTTATGAGTTCTAACTTTTAATGTATTTTCAAGTGTATTTTATTAAGTATAAAAGATGCATCACGTATAATCCAATATAATAATTTATTATACCTTTCAAAGACTATAACATTATGAATCTGGAGCCTTTCTCTTCCGATTTTCTGCAGAGGCATCATCTGATTGGGCCTGACCAAATACAGACCTGAAGCATGCATAAAGCCATGATCATAAGCTAACTTAGGTACAATGATTATGGAAAAGTATCGCAGCAAAATGGAGATCATCTCCTGTGCCTTTAACTTTTAGTCTCACCGACAAAACAATTAGAAGTATATCTCAGAGAATCATTTCTGCAGCAATTACAATCACTAATAGCTCATGCAATATTAACTTTATAAGCTCCCAATAGATGAGTAAAATTTTTGCTCAGGTTTATCATGTCCACAACTAAAATAGCATTCCTGCCTCACCATAATTTGACCAGCAGCACTGGTATAGGTTATTATTTATTTTATTATTATCCTGCATATTCACTTAAATTCAAATAGATATTGCAGATGATCAAGTATTGACCGTGCCTTTTCCTAACGGCAAAAAGTCTAATCAGTGGCACAACATTGATTGGTGGGTACAGGCCAAGTCTGGCCTAAGGGGCAAGGGCTATGGCCAACAACACATGACAATTTTTGTTTTTGGAAGTGTCGCTTCTTCGTCATCACACTGGAATCCAAAAAACTCCAGTACAAAGAACTTCAAAATATAGTTGTCAGATCAGTTATGCATCATAGAATTGAAAGTAAGTTCCAACTTCCAAACAATTGGCATATATTCGCATTAAGGGAATTAAACACAGTAAAAACTTGAGAAAACAGCATATGAAATTTCATGAAACAACATGTAATTTCTGCTTACCCGCATGTTGAACATTTCTTGTGATGCTTACAAAATATGGACAAACACACAGAACATATGTAGCCCATGTCAATTGTATTTTTATGACAAAAACACCTGCAAATTGTAAAATTGTGATAAGATGAACTGCAAATTCCATCAAAATAAAAATGAGGTAACAGACAATCAAATAAATGAATGTAAATAGATAAACTTATGAGGCATGAAAATCAATGCCATCAAAATAATAATGAGGTAACAGACAGTCAAATAAATGAATGTAAATAGATTAACTTACGAGGCACGAAAATCAACGCCAACAGGCTTAGGAAGTTGTAAGGAATTGCGAGAATGTAAATCAGTTCCAAAAATGGTCTGCATATTTCAAAGACATCACATTAGACACATGCAATTGAAACTAAAAGGGAAAGAAAAATAAAAATGGCTCTCTGAGTCACATGGACACAAGGAGATCCTGGTCAAAGTATAGTACAGAGTCATACAAGACAAGAACAATGAACCTTTAGACATTTAGTCAATTGGTAGATTTTGGATTTTCTAAATTATATTGTAGCTAATTTCTAATTAAGACTAAAAGTATGCAGTTTTCAGATTAAATCAGATATGAATGTTCTTTCTAATTTAATGATCTTGTTCAAATTTTCAACCCACACAAATAAAATATTTTTGCACAAAAACCTCCAGTTTCCATTTCAAATTTAAGCAGACCACTCATGGACATGTTAAAATTGGTGAGAGCAAGGGAGATTAAAAGATTACAACTTTAAATTGCTAAAAAGTCATGCTATTTAAATATATGATATACCATGAGATATTGAAAGAGCCCATCCAATTGCTGAGGCTTATGATGTACACCGCCAGTTATGTAAGAAGCCTGTTACTCTCATGCATCAAAACCAATCAGGAGAGAGATGGAAGGCAGACGCTTGTGTCTGTTATAAAAACAATCCAATCATAACAAGAACCATTAATATGTTACCTGCTGCAGGAAGGCAGAATTTTGAACCCCAATATAGCAAGAATCTATTGGAACCTGCAAAAGGAAGCATATTAATGCTAAACAAACAGTTCTTAAACCTGAAAAGGCCATAAATCCAAGTACTGATAGTAATACGTTAAAATAATAAGAGGAAGAAGCCAATTCACAAACTCAAACATTCTAAACCTACTAATGTATTGTATATTATGCAATGTACAAATTGTCTCCTCCTAATTTCTATTCAACCTCACTAACTTCACATGCTAGTTCTATCAGCAGAGATTGCTCCATTTAATTTGAGGGATCATTGAGTCAATATGTGTCTTATAAACTCAAGAAGATTCCAGTTGAGAGGTTTAGATTCCACTTGGTAGGTTTGACTGAGGCAAGCATAAACATTGTAGAATGTTAATTTGCAAAATGGATCCGGTAATATGCAGCTCACTGAAAAGGTGGTTAACTTGTAATTACTTCTATGTTTCAAATGAACTTAATCTTGCAACAAGGGCAAAGTGGAACAGGAATGAGGAGACTAATATCAAGATAACGAAAACATTAAATCTAAAAAATCTAAAAGCAACATTCAGTACCATAGAGCGTTGGGCAGAGAATATTGCATTCATGATTGCAACATATCTGAAAAGAAGAAAACCTTTCAGAGCACAGGTTGACACAAAACAAATGAAAATCGTGCAAATAGTCATAAACAACATACTGTTCAGGTCCATCTGGAGATCCCTGCAAGCATAAAATCTGCTCTCATAATGTTAGGAAGATCATTAGTAGCAAGCCAAAAAACTAAAAGTCAAATAACAAGAATGTAAAAAAGGCAAGAAAAAAAGTGCAAAATGTCTATGTATCCATAAAAGTAAACAATGGGCCAAACAGCTGCAGCATAGGGAAAAAGAGAAGTGAATGAAACTACAGATAGAAGAGGAAAACAATTTGAGCGTTAGTGAATGATAAGTAATATGAGTCCAGTTGAATATATTTGAAATTTGTATAATACTTTTCCATATTCCATATGGTCATTGAAATCTAATATTTTTCTTATATCAAGACAATTTCCAAATCTTTAAATGTATATAAAAATGATAAAATCACAATATAGTTTCTGCAGAGAACCACTATGCTGCCTTCAATCAACTTTATCCAATAGTAGATTCATCTAGAGAACATATACAGTCCACATCGATGATTAACTTCAAGTGGGTAAATCATTTGTAAGGCTATGCAGTTAAAAATGAAAACCACAATGAGTAATTAAGCACTATACAGACATGATCCACCAAAAAAAGAAGATTAGTCCATGCATCAATTTTATGTACATAAGAAGCATATGGTATGGAAATTTTATTAAAAAAAACTACGCAAACTTGCACAATAATAGAATAATATCATGCCCGAATAAAAATCATATGATGTATTGTCCATATGAAATCAAGCAAAGTTGGTTTGAACTATTAATTCAGGAATTCAGATTGCATCTAAACCAAAATGATTGATGTAAAAAACATAAATACTCACTCGAGGTTGTGGATGGAGTGATCCCGAGCGGAAAACCCTCTGTATGTCTAGTCAGAGAATCAAATCAAACAATCTGCAAAATCATTTTCCCAAAAAGTGATACTGCCTCACTCTCTTTCACGTATTCATTAAAAAAATATATTTCAAAATAACCACAATTCACACAGAATCTAGAAATGCATGAGAGTAACAGGCTTAAAAGAAAATTCAAAGACAACTCAGATCAGCCAATATTCACCGTTTTTGTTTTCTTAAGGAAAAAAAAAAAAAAAAAAACCCACTTGAGACAATGTGTCTACTTTTCTTAAAATAACCCCATTTTGGAAAGAACACCAGAAAATTCAAATGTTGCATTACATGCAATAAACCCATTCAAACCAAAAGGATACAACAAAGAGCCATTGATAATGAGCCGGACAACAGGGAATAAGAAATCCTTCCNCACTCTCTTTCACGTATTCATTAAAAAAATATATTTCAAAATAACCACAATTCACACAGAATCTAGAAATGCATGAGAGTAACAGGCTTAAAAGAAAATTCAAAGACAACTCAGATCAGCCAATATTCACCGTTTTTGTTTTCTTAAACAAAAAAAAAAAAACCAACCCACTTGAGACAATGTGTCTACTTTTCTTAAAATAACCCCATTTTGGAAAGAACACCAGAAAATTCAAATGTTGCATTACATGCAATAAACCCATTCAAACCAAAAGGATACAACAAAGAGCCATTGATAATGAGCCGGACAACAGGGAATAAGAAATCCTTCCGTCCGTCTCTTGTTTACCAAGATTCTCATCTTTAATCAAAAACTCCTCCAAATTTTGCAACAAAATCCCACATAATGCACGCATTCTACTATTTCCAAAGCTCTGATTGCTCGTTAAAGACGAATCATATATGTAGTCACATGTATTATAGCCCGTAGCAATAACGACAACTTGGTTGAGTTGATTGAGAGTCAATATGGCATTCAAAAACGCAAGCACCTGTATAATTAAAACAAAAAAAAATATATATATATATAAAATATTTAAGCCCAATTAAAAGGTTTAATAAAGATCTTTACACCAAAAATTTAAAGGCTTCCTTGACCAAGAGAATTGATATAGCGAGCAAGCAACTGTAGGAATAGAAACAATAAAAAACTAAAATAGAATGAAAAATTAGGGTTTACATGAGAGAGGAACTGAGTGAAGGAGAAATAAGAAGAGTTCCAGAAGAAAGGATTAGTGTCGAGTAACACCACTACCAGGCTAACATCATCTGCAATTAAACAAACAGACGTTATTTTAACGAACATTATAGAAATCTAATCTGCTTATATGTAGAAAGAAGGGGAATGAGTGAGACCTGTGTAGAGCTTGGAGGGAGCTGAAGCCATTAATCTGTAATTACTAATTAGGAGTTGCTCAACGCAGCTAGGTGGTTTGGTTTTGGTTATGTAATGTTTCCTGCCAAAATTAAACTTAGATCTGTAACTGGTTAAAAGTCGAGAAAATTCCCCTAAACCCCCTCAACTCAGCTTATTAAACCCCTCTGGTTCTGGATATTGCTACGAACCCCTTTGTTTGTCTACCATTAAGGATTTTTTTTTAATTCTGTCTTATCAGGGCTAAAAGTATAACTTTGTAACTCACAATTATAAAAATAAATAAAATTATATAATGAAAAGTGAGTTTGTAGATAATCTCATATTATCATGCATCTGTAAATTGCATAGACTCTGACAAACAGCAAGGGGTTTCTAGCAATATCCAGAACCAGAGGGGTTGTTATAGATATCGTTGAGGGGGTTTAGAGTAACTTTCTCTTAAAAGCACGCATTTCTCCAAAATTCATTTGAAATTTATGTCGGAGATTTTAAAAACCTCCATCATTTAAAAAGAAGGCGTTTATACTTTATATGAATGAAGCAAAAATTACCGTCAGAAATGGAATATTCGTCGGGGCTTGATCTTAGGTTTGATTAGCCACCAAGAAATATAAGGGAGACTAAATATTCGAAAGGTAAAGATTTGAAGTTGGCAGTTGGTGAATACTCAATAAGAGGCTTGGACTATTTCCTAGTCAGTAGTAATGAATCAGCATGCTATTTTGGAACATTCAAAAGTATATAATATGCATAGCATATTGGTTCTTTATCATCTTGCATTTGTGTAGTGGAGTAATGTGAAGATGGAAGATTTGATTCAGTACCTGCCTGGTTATACAGTAAAAAGTATATTACGTTTTCCTTTACATCCCCAGCAACCTACAATTACATGTATCCTTCCAAATCATGGCATTTCCTCTTCAATGGTTTGCCATGTCAATTGAACCCTTAATATGTGCGAAATTAGAGGTTGTCTTAGACACAACAAACCCTCCAGAGTCCCCACCATCCAGACATTGCTCTCCAAACCCAAAAATAATCCTCCCAAAGAAAAATGATAGCAAACAAAATAATAAACCAACTGTAAGGAACAAAATGTGGTACTTCCAGCCTATTCCATACAATAGGTGGTAAAGAAAGGCTTAAGATATGTAAATTTCATACGTTTCATAAGTTTAATTACATCTGACAAATAATTCCTAACCTTTACTTAAAATCTAAGGTGGAAGACACACTATTAAACAAAGAAAACAATCTGAAAATATATGGTGAAAAACGGAGAAAATTCCTACCTAAAAGCACACAGAGAACAATTAAGTTATTAGAGCAGGATGTAAACACAGCCACAACAATCCTAAAATTCCCCCAGTGACAATGCTAATGCAGTCGACAAGGCAACTTACTCAAATCAAGATAACTGATAGCGAGAGGGAATTGCCCATAACTCTCATTTCATGATAAGGCAAATAAATAAGTAAAAAAAAATACTAGGTGCAATAAGAAAAAAATCCTCTGGTTTGCTGCATGTTTAACGTTGTCATAAAATAGACAGATTACATACAATAGACTGGTGGGACTGGTTAAAAAACCAACCAAACAGAAGAAAAAACCCACCATCTAGGCAAACAGTTGATGGAAAAAATTAGAATGAAATAGACATCATGAACTTGACAAATGAACATAAGATGAATGCCATGGGAAACGTGGCTAATGAATTCATCAAGGAGCTAGCATCAGAAATACTCCCAGAAGGACCACTTGCAGGGGGAACGCCAGGGAGTGACCCAGTTGATGGCACCAAAGAAGACTTGGGTGTTGTCGATCCAGCACCATCTGACTCGGGTGCAGGAGCTGGAGCACTAGATAAATCTCTGATTACTGATGAAGGTGGAGCTATAAGAGGCGGAAATTGCTGAGGTCCTGCATCATTTTACAAAATGCATAGCAAAGAATAAATAAATAACTATGACACAATTGCATGATTATTTGAACTGATTTGAACATCATTAATGGATATAAAATAGTAACTTCAACTTGATAGCACTTTAAACTTATGAATTCATCTGGCACATATAGATCATCACCAAAATCAACAGAGCAAAAGCTGATAATGGAAAATAAAGATAATTCATTAATTTCCTAAGAACACATTTCTTATGAGAATATCAAATTCCAGGATATATTGTCTAGATTGTCTGAAAAGCAGAGAACCAGCCAAGAGAAATCAATCATGCCACTACAGCAACTATAACATATAAAAAACATTGCCGGCATTACTGAAGAAAACTAGAAAAACAAAAATCTGCAGCAATCCCTCAAAAAATTCGGAAAAAAAAATGGGCATATCAATGTTGAGAAATGGAGTAGAAATTAAAAATAGATAACCAGTGGATCTTCAGCTCTCATGCACCTCCAAATACTCCATAACAAAAAACTACTTAACAAATTTTACCTGGGCATCGAGGTTGAAGAGATGTAGACAGCCTGCAGGGTAGAAATACGATTCAAAAGGTTCAACCATCAGTCTGAAACTAGATTCCAAAATTACATGTCTAAATAAACATCAAAGAAACAACATAAGAAACAGAAATAGCATACGTAGTGATGATGGTGCCATTGACGAAGCCACCATAACTACATGAAGTGACATTACACCCAGCACTACTCTGTTGCATCGAAACGTTTCCAAGCATAAGATTACTATTTTTACATTGCATGCTAGAGCACGAAACTGCCAAAGAAGCAGGCATGCAGTACAAACTGTTTTAAACAGAAAATGAAGCTGATTAGCGCCAAACTTATACACAAAAAGAAAAAGAAAATTCATATACCTAAACCAACATGCAGGTAAGATTTACTCATTTACTTTTGATTCCCTGGCCCACAACTGCATTGTACACAATGGCTCGCTGTGATAGCATAGCTCCCATTTGGCACAATCAATGCATGATCTGAGGCATATCTGGGAAAATTTGCTGCACAAGCTGCAATTTAAGAAGCAAAGCAAGGAAACCATTAATCAATGTTCAAAGACAAAACACTCGAGCATAAACTCAAATTGCATCAAGAAAATACACATTGGGGCAACTATAAGACATTCCACTGCAATAAAAAAAACAGGAAATATAGCCAAAACACGATGATATTCGCAACAAAACAACCATAAGCATACTAAAATAAGCAACAAATGTCTCAATTTAATCAAACGGCTCTAGCTTTAAACTCATAAATCTCATTCAGGACTTCAAATTCATCAAAAATGAATTTAAAAAAAAAAAAATTACCTGGCAATGGAACAGCAAGAATATCAGCAGCCTTGATGGCCGTGCTCCCCATAGCATTAACATTCATCAAATCCGTAAGGGTCGTTCTATATCTAGCCGCAATTCCCGCAAGTGTATCCACTTCCTTGACAACATAACTCAAATAAACAGCTGGCAACGAATTATCCGTCCCATTAAAGCAAGTACACGGGAGCGGCACCAGCAAGCTCACTCCCACATCCAAAACATCCGGGTCCTGTATCCCATTCGCCTCCCTCAACTGATCGGCCGAGACAAGACCCGAGTAAACTTGGTTTGCAATCGACGCCAGCGTGTCCGAGGGCCGAGTCTTGTAGTGCGTGGACACGGACTTCCGAATCCCGTCCACGCAGGAGCAAGTAACCGGAATCTTCAGGAAGAGCTGAGACGGAAGAATGTGGTTCTCCACGTCTGGGTACGAAATGTCGATGGCGTTAACGGTGAGAACCGAAACGGGGTCGACGTTGAAGAGAGATCCGACCTCGGAGACTTTGAGGTCGGTGTAGAGCGTGTAGCCGAGTAACGCGCTGCAGTTGTCCGAGTTGGAGCAAGGCTCGATGGTTGATTTTGAGAGGACTAGAGCCACATTGGTTAGAATCAAGAAGAAGGAAGCAATGGCTGTAGGGTTTTGGTTAGACATTGCTTCTGTTTTAGGGTTTTAGAGGTTGAGTTTCGTGACTATGGTTTTTGGATGGAGAGAGAGAGAGTGGAGTGAAGAGGAAAGTGAGAGAGCTGAGATTGAGGGAGGAGACAAATGTGTTACATGGAGTGACCAGACATTAGTCAGTTTCTCGATCTTTGAGTCTGTAGAGGCTGCTTTTTTTGTTGGACCAATTTGTCCCTTTCTGTTTTTAATTTCTCTCTTTTTGAAATTTATGCCTTTAAGTTATAAAGGAGCGTTTTCACTATGATACAATGGAATAGGGTGTTTACTTACGGATTTGCCCTCTTTGGTTGCTTCACTGATATGATTTTTCGAGGGAAATTATTATACAGTATTACCGATTACGCAAGGCAGTAATTTATTTTATTCATGAGTTCAATTTACTAATTTTATATAGTGTTTTAAACAGTAAAAATTCATTTACCTCACTAGTTTTATAAAAAAATTACATTCAAATAATCTAAAACTATTAAAAAATACATTATTTTAAACCTTACATCTTTTAAGCTAAATATTGTCCNATTCTTAAGGATCCGAGAGTTAAATGATATCATGGGTTGGGTTGAGATCGAGAGATGAAAACTGATTTATCTAAGGTAATAAAACCATAGATTGAGCGAACGCTAAAAATAGGTTACCGCGATCTGTGAAGCTCTGGTAAATTCTATAGAACTTAGTGATCTCTTAACTCCTAAATCCAACTTAGAGATATTTTGGGTTATTGCTTAAGGGTTAGTTCACTAATTGTTCGAGAGAAAGTTAGTGGAATATCAGGGAGTTTGGCCTTTAGAATAAGTTTAATTAGGTTAGCAATAATTGTCAATACATAGGATTAAATTGGTGTGAAATCTGTACCCTAGGTTTAGTCATATTGATCTTTATATCATAGTGTTTATAAAATTCTGCATTTATTTAGTTTTTTGTTTGTTTACTTTTTCATTAAATTCATTCTTAAAATTCAGTTTAATCAAATAGCAATAAAATATATTAGTTTAGTACTTGGAAGGTAGTTCTCTTGGGATTCGACATTCGTTTAGTCGAGCTTTATTACTTGCACGATTTCATACACTTTCGAATAATCTGTCACATCACTGATATGATTTTTCGAGGGAAATTATTATATTACCGATTACGCAAGGCAGTAATTTATTTTATTTATGAGATCAATTTACTAATTTTATATAGTGTTTTAAACAGTAAAAATTCATTTACCTCACTAGTTTTATAAAAAAATTTCATTCAAATAATCTAAAACTATTAAAAAATACATTATTTTAAACCTTACATCTTTTAAGCTAAATATTGTCCTTATTATATTTTAACGGACAAAATCCTATATAATCAAACCCTTAACATTCACTTTCTTTCACTCCTCCAAATAATTTATGCAAACCCTTTAATATTTACTTTCTCACTCTTAGCCCCGCCTCTGCCCCCACAACAATAAACATAAACATAACCGTTTACTTGGCTGCAAGCCTACAACCTTGTTTGAGCCTGTTACTACCTCGCAAGGCCACGACCTTGCTTGAGGGTATCGCCTCACAAGGTTAGGCTTCGCTGCCACCTTGTAATGCCATAGCCTCTTTGGAGGTTGCAATCTCTCTTGAAAGTGGTCGAGTGGAGGTTAGGATTGGGGTGGATGTGGGTTAAGATGAGTGTTTAGGTTAGCTTGATAATTTCCTAAGGGTTTTTTGATAATTTCAAATATTAAAATAGATACAAGTTATTTAAATTTAGGTATAAGGGTGAAATAGATAATTCTCACCCAAATCTAACAACATTTTGACTTTGTTAGGTTTAGCAGGTGTACCGTGCAGGTGGTTTATTTTTAAAATAATTATGCAGAAAGTTTAATTAAAACTATAAAAAATGCCATTTAGGTGATAATTTTCTATAAAACTTCTAAAGCCATTAGAGGGTTACTATTGAAGTGTTTCTTTTTATTTTAAAAAATTATTTCTGGAAAATATTGTATATGTTGTGTTATTGAGTAAGGGTATTTCGGTGAATCAGTGAGTTGCTTTTTAGATTTAGGAGCATCTACTTGAACCCCACTCACCCCTATTTGGGTTTTCTTTTCAAGAGTGGCGGAAAAGAATTTCTGGATTTCTTGTTGTTTCGGACATGAACATACCCAGATAATCCACGCGAATAATCAGCGCGTATCCTATACTTGTCCACAGTTCACGTGTTCACAGTCTCAACTTGGTTGTTGTTCATAAAGGTCAACGGCCGAAACCAATTAGATGCTCTCTATTATCGTTACTCCAATTTATATTTACATAATTTGTTGAAATTAATTTAATTCGACCCCCCACCACCCCACCCACCCATTGAGTTATAAAGGAGCGTTTTCACTATGATGACAATGGAAATATGGTGTTTACTTACGGATTTGCCCTCATTGGTTGCGTCATGTTGATATTTTGTTAGTGATTTAATTAGTTTATTTATGAAAAAATGTGTTTAAAGTATGGAATTTAGATTAATTCTTTCATAAATATCATTTATAGGATCACGAGTGCATTTTGAGTGTTTTCAGGCTCAAACAGGTTTTTGAAGGGAAAAGAATGATATCGATGGGACTCACAACGCGTAGGAACAAACGACACAGGAATCAGAGTTAAAACGAGAAAGTTGTGGCGCCTCGAAGACGTTATGTAAAATCTGAAAATCCTTTATCATGAGCATGTTTCGATGTTTCTGTCATAACTTGAGCTGTAAAAGTCAGAATTCGACGATTCTGGTGGCATTGGAAAGCTTATTTAGAGAGCTACAATGTTTGTGTTGATGATTTTATCAAATTCTAAAGATTACGGATGCCTTGGATAGAAAGAACGATCGCCACAGTGACCATTCTTACCACCGTTGCGATGGGTCATGGGTGTGTGTTAATTCATTATCCTAATCCGAATCTGAATGGGCTAAGTTTTCTAATCTTTTTCCTAAGCAAGACCAGAACCCTAGGGATATAAAAGAGGGTCTTTAAGAAGTTAAAAGGGAGATTATTGTAAGAGAAAGAAGATGACGACTACTATTTTGGAGATCGGAATTCTTGCGATTCTCGTTCACAAATTAGAGAAGTGTTTTTATTTTCTGTTCTTGAACTCATGTTATTCAATACAATGGTTGTTTTCATTACTGTATTTATGAACTAAATCTCTTTTCTAGGGCTAAGATGTAGCCCAATTTATGAATATATGTTGACTTAAATTGTTGTTAATTCTTAGTGAACATTTAATTCTAAGTTTTATTATTGTGCATAATGCTTTCAATTCTTAAGGATCCGAGAGTTAAATGATATCATGGGTTGGGTTGAGATCGAGAGATGAAAACTGATTTATCTAAGGTAATAAAACCATAGATTGAGCGAACGCTAAAAATAGGTTACCGCGATCTGTGAAGCTCTGGTAAATTCTATAGAACTTAGTGATCTCTTAACTCCTAAATCCAACTTAGAGATATTTTGGGTTATTGCTTAAGGGTTAGTTCACTAATTGTTCGAGAGAAAGTTAGTGGAATATCAGGGAGTTTGGCCTTTAGAATAAGTTTAATTAGGTTAGCAATAATTGTCAATACATAGGATTAAATTGGTGTGAAATCTGTACCCTAGGTTTAGTCATATTGATCTTTATATCATAGTGTTTATAAAATTCTGCATTTATTTAGTTTTTTGTTTGTTTACTTTTTCATTAAATTCATTCTTAAAATTCAGTTTAATCAAATAGCAATAAAATATATTAGTTTAGTACTTGGAAGGTAGTTCTCTTGGGATTCGACATTCGTTTAGTCGAGCTTTATTACTTGCACGATTTCATACACTTTCGAATAATCTGTCACATCACTGATATGATTTTTCGAGGGAAATTATTATATTACCGATTACGCAAGGCAGTAATTTATTTTATTTATGAGATCAATTTACTAATTTTATATAGAGTTTTAAACAGTAAAAATTCATTTACCTCACTAGTTTTATAAAAAAATTTCATTCAAATAATCTAAAACTATTAAAAAATACATTATTTTAAACCTTACATCTTTTAAACTTAATATTGTCCTTATTAGATTTTAACGGGCAAAATCCTATACAATCAAACCCTTAGCGTTCACTTCTTTCACTCCTCCAAATAATTTATTCAAACCCTTTAATATTTACTTTCTCACTCTTAGCCCCGCCTCTGCCCCCACAACAATAAACATAAACACACCATTTACTTAGCTGCAAGCCTGCAACCTTGTTTGAGCTGTTACACCTCGCAAGGCCAGACCTTGCTTGAGGGTACTGCCTCAAAGGTTAGGGGTTCGCCACCACCTTGTAATGTCATAGCCTCTTTGGAGGTTGCAATCTCTCTTGAAAGTGGGGAGTGAGGTTAGGATTGGGGTGGATGGGGTTAAGATGAGTGTTTAGGTTAGCTTGATAATTTCTAAGGGTTTTTTGATAATTTCAATATTAAAATAGATACAAGTTATTTAATTTAGGTATAAGGGTGAAATAGATAATTCTCACCAAATCTAACAAATTTTGACTTTGTTAGGTTTAGCAGGTGCACTGTCAGGTGGTTATTTTTTAAATAATTATGCAGAAAGTTTAATTAAAACTAAAAAAAATGCCATTTGGTGATATTTTCTATAAAACTCTAAAGCCATTAGAGGGTTATTAATTTTTTATTTTAAAAAATTATGGGCGCGTTGTGGTTTAGTATTTTGGTAGGATTTTGAGGATAGTATTGGATAGTTGGATAGGGTTATGATTACGAGAATATGATTTTCAGAATATGTGTTTGGTAGAGTATTTTGACCTTGATATTTGTGTTAAATATTGATTAATATATTTGTTTATAAATGATTTATTAATATAATATTTATTGTATTTTGTTAAAATAATGTATTATTATATATAATATATATAACTTATCACCTCACATTTTAATAATACTAAATATTTTATTGGTAATTTTGTTACCGTATATATTAAAAAACAAAAACCCATATTAATTTCAAGTAGTAATCCAACTGTTTAAAAACATCACATTAATACATATATGACAAAAATACTAATTATCAACCCTTACAATCATTATTACACGTATACTCCATTAACAACTATGACACGGTCCACTGTGCTACCCACAGTGCATTCGTTATGTTATCCCGTACAGTCATCATGTTGTCTATAATACCTTGTGCGGTTGACTCGATCCTTCCATTTGGCCATATTCTGTCCCGTTTGATGATCACAATATGCTTGCTCATTACCCGTAATATATTGGTTTGTTCGAAGATACGGTCGTCCATATTGTACATTCTTATAAAATTATGAAGTACACAAACATGCCATGACAATCTTCCCTTGTTTGTCCAACGGATAATTGTTCATTCCATTTAGAATACGAAACCGTTTTTTCAAAACCCAAAGGTTCTCTCGATAACATTGCGGAGTGAAGCATGTCTGTAATTAAACAACTCTTGTGGCCCCCTTCGGTTACGGCGGGTGATCAGAAATATGGTAAGCCACTTGCCTATGAGGGGCGAGGAACCCATCCCTATTTGCATAACCCGCATCAACCAAATAGTATTTCCCTGTAATAATACAACATTTTATTTGAATACAGGGCCTCAACAGTGGATGTAATACGCTATAATACGTCAAGAAAATATTTATACCTGGTGGAGGATATGGGAATCCTGAATTAGGATCATCAATAATTGAATTTAAAACTCTTGAATCATGCGCTGATCCTTCCCATCCAGTAACGACATAAAGTGAACATCATGTTAAAGTCGCATACAGCCATTATATTCTGTGACATCGATCCTTTGCGATTCCGGTACCTAATGGCAAATTCACGTGGAACCGAAGCGTATACATGTGTGCCATCTATGGCTCCAATACAGTCCTATCATGAAAATGAGTCATTTCACTAATATAACCTACTAAACAAATTAATAACACAATGAACTTAACTATCTACTAATACCAAACATAATGAACCAGTACCTTAAAGAAAGGGTAATATTTTCTGTTGGCTGATATTTCCCTGGAACATCATTGAAGTCAGGTGGTCTGATAAAATCTGTTTTCAACTCACAATATAGCATCGCAAACTGCGCGGTAACATGTCTAGAGATCGTCTCACCCGAATGTTGGAAATCCTCCATCATCGTTCTGATTGTCTCATTTTTTCCAACGATTGTTAGAAATATCATAACTTGTTCTTCTAAACTGTCCTCCTTGTTGGTTGCAATTTGCCTTGATCGGACAAAAATTCACATAACAATGTAAAACAGTCTTGTCCATGCGGCACTTGTCATAGATCCGTCAGGATGACCGTTGAGTACTTCCACAATGTAATGATGACCAGTTAATACAGATGTATGTCGTGGTTGAGGTCGACTTGCTTCTAACGCGGCAACACCGATAGTGCAATGGCTATATCTGTCAGTATTTCTTCTTCGTCCCTCTCATCTGTAGCACGTTGTCTTCTTCCTGTACGGCTAGACGACGCCATTTAAACCTACACATTTGCAAAACATTATCAACAATAATAGTGTTGTACTACTTTGAAAAATATAACAGTCAATATTTAATTGTAATGACAATCTAAAACAGTGTTTACACATTACAATATCACATAAATAAGTTCATACAGTAGCGTTATAATTGTAATTGTAATGACAACTGCCCACTGACGCATACAAAATTGTTGCCAAACAATTATGAAAATATGTGTCATCTACGAATTATTTGAAAAAGTTTTGTGAATCCTTAGCCTTTTCGTCCAGTGGGAGTTTCACAAATATCTCCCGCCACCCTGGATTTTCATACAAGTACGTGACAGTCGGCAGAAAAAAAACTGTGTCGGTACTTGCATGGCCGTCTGATGTCAATACAATTGCTCATGGAGAAAGGATCAGATGGGGCACTGGTGTTCGCTTCTTCCCTCTCATCTCTAGGACGATCGGAAGCCCTGGATCCCATTGTCCGCTTTTCCGCAAGCTCATCCTCAAGCTAAAAATGGCATCCGCAATTGTATGTCCGGGCCCCCTTCTATGCCTACGATTTCTGCTCTCCATGACCAGATGTGTTTGGCCGTTTTTCCCCTGTCAAACGATCAGGATCAGGTTCAAAGTCGCTATCATCCATAGGAACCGAGCCGGGATTGGAATAACTGGAGGGCTCCACCTGTTGGGATGTAGATGTGTACGCATATCTTAGTGGCAGTTGCTTCTCAAAATTATTTCATAAAGTTCCTTGTGGGGAAGTCCTTGTGGTAAAATTGTTGCGCAGTGGGTTTTGCTGACAAGTTAAACGAATAATATATTATATTTAGCAGTCCGAAAAAATGCGTATATTTACAATGACGTTGAATAATAATAGTTAAAAAATATGATAATTTACCTTGACATATTCTTGCCAAACTCAACGGGACACGTTGGACTTTGTGACTCCTGATCCCACCCGAATCCTGTGTGTTGCAGCAATTTCCGCCATGCTTGATAAAGTTTTCGCAGGCGAAAGAACTTAGAGGCTAATTGTGTCACGTTGAGTCTCCTGCCAGCCAATGATGATAGTGTCGCCAACATTTCTTGGTAATCAGCTGTTTTTATGCCGTACCATGTGAAGTTTTCGCCGCCTCAGATAACAGGACCAGAAATCTGTGGGTCATCTCAGCAGACCAAGCCACAGAATCACCCATCTAAGGACAGTACGGTGAGGGACAACCAACATTGGGGCACCATACGAATCACCAAGCACATTACACAATATAATAATCACATGTTAACGTAATCAACTAAACACATATAAAAGTATACCTCGTTCGATCCGACACTGCTTGAAGACGTCAATGCAGGGGAAGATACAGACACTGTCGACCAACAGGGTGTATGACGAACTCCAACTCTAGAAAAAAGTCGAAACTTTCGCCTCTGTTGCAAGTAATACGATCCTGCGACGTCGAGATAAATTATGCTGACATTTATGCATATGAGCGTAATTTCTGGGTACGATTAAAGAACGACGTCAAATCTATAAACAAATAAATCATTAGTGAAACCGGAATAAAATATTTCAGTTAACCAAATACAAAACGCATTATTAAAGTCCAAATTCAAAGGATTAATGAAAAGAAAAAAAACAATACTAATACAAATTATTTCCAAAAAAAAATTGAAAAAAATAGCGGCTCGGTGTCTTGAAAACAAATAGATAACGGAAACTTACAAACTTGATTTGGATACGTCGTGAGTCTCTTCCCTTCTCTGAGTCAGATAAAACATCCAAATACAATTAAATGGATCCGTGTGTACACAAGATTAAAAAGCTGTCAAACAAAACAAAAAACCCAATTAAAACAATCCTGTGCCAATTGCCGAATAAAATAAAAACCGAATTAACAATTATATCCAATAACTAATCAAATAAAAACTGAATTAAAACAAAATCCCAAATAAAACAAGAATTGCCCAAAAAAAAACCCAATTAAAAGCCGAAAAAAACCCAATTGCTTTAATACATATAAGGTGGGTTTGGGTTTGTTTTATAGTGGACACATTTTCCACAAAACAAAGCATGTTATTTGAAAGAAAAAATGCAGTTTAAAATGCAGTGAGGGTGCTTACAGTCGTGGTGGTGCGTGGTGCTTGGGTGGGTTGTTGGGGTGTGGTTGGGGTGGTGGCTTGGGTGGGTTGGTGTGGGGTAGATCGGGGTCATGGTGGTGCGTGGGTGGTTGGGGTGGTGTGAGTGGTGGATGGGTGGGCTGGGTTGGGGTCGTGGTGGTGCGTGGTGGCTGGGTGGGCTGGGTTGGGGTGTGGTGGTGGGGGTGGTTGGGTGGGCTTGTGTGGGGTAGATCGGTGGTGGGTGTGGGGTGGCTGGTGGTGGTGGGTGGGCTGGGTGGGGTGCGTGTGGGGTGCGTGGTGGCTCGGGTGGGCTGGTTGGGTCGTGGTGTGGTGGGTGGTGGGTGGGTTGTGTGGGGTAGATCGCGTGGGTGCGTGGTGGCTCGGGGTGGCTGCGTCTGGTGGTGGTGGTGTGGGCTGGGTGGGCGTGGTGGTGGGGTGGGTGGCTGGGTGGGGGTTGGGGTCGTGGTGGTGCGTGGTGCTTGGGTGGGTTGTGTGGGGTAGATCGGGTGAGTGGTGGTAGGGGTGGTGGTGGTGGCTCGGGTGGGGGGTTGGGCGCGTGCGTGGTGGCTAGGTGGGCTGGGTTGGGGTGTGGGTGGTGCTTGGTGGATCGGCGTGGGGCTGGGGGTGGGGTAGATCTCGGGTGTGGTGGTCGGGTGGGTGGGTTGGGGAGAGTCGGGTCGTGGGTGGTGCAGGGAGGCTCGGGGTGGGCTGGTTTCCGGGTTGACGGTGGGTTCACGTTGGGTTAGAATGTGAGTTTGTGACAGAGGGCATTGGGGGTTCACGGTGCTGGTACTGGAAACTGGAAAGGGAGATGGTGGTAATGCAAACTGGGAAGTGAAGCATCGAACCTGGTAATGGATTATCAGAAACTGAAATGGTGGTGATGGATATTGAGAAAGTGAAGCACTAAAACGGTAATGTGAATTGAGAACTGAAGCACGGAGAAGAAAGTGAAATGGTGAGGATGCAGTGAAAAAAAAAAAAGAAAAAATAAATGTAACGGTCAGAATGTCAGGATTGTGTCAGGATTCTATTATCAGGGTTGGACTCTTCAAGTAATAAAACAAACACAATTTCAAAAATCCGGTCTAAAATACAGATAAAAATAGTTAGCCAAACACGCACTATATTTCTGAAAAATATATGTTGTGTTATTGAGTAAGGGTATTTCGGTGAATCAGTGAGTTGCTTTTTAGATTTAGGAGCATCTACTTGTACCCCACTCACTCCTGTTTGGGTTTTCTTTTCAAGAGTGGCGGAAAAGAATTTCTGGATTTCTTGTTGTTTCGGACATGAACATACCCAGATAATCCACGCGAATAATCAGCGCGTATCCTATACTTGTCCACAGTTCACGTGTTCACAGTCTCAACTTGGTTGATGTTAATAAAGGTCAACGGTCGAAACCAATTAGATGCTCTCTATTATCGTTACTCCAATTTATATTTACATAATTTGTTGAAATTAATTTAATTCGACAGCATGTAATTACATGTGAGTAATCTAATCAAAATCAGGAAGAATGAGATGTAACTTGAAATTTTTTTGTTAATTCATAATAATACAACTCCTATAATAATTTTTAAACAAATAAGGTTCAAATCTAATAACTAAACTTTCGTATATCTAAATTATTAATTAAACTAAAGACAACTACAACTTTTTAAAAAGTATAAATCATGATCCATTGATGATTGCAGTGTACATATTATGTGTATCAAACAAGCAAGACATATTTAATAAAATTTAATTAGTTAATTGATAGATTATTAATGCTTATAAGTATCATTCTCCAAATGTTTCCATAATAATGAATAAGCATGTAGAAACCTTATTAGTAAATGACATATTCCCACCGAAGGTTTAGCGAAATAGAAAGTTTTCACCCATGATTACATAAATTTCAAATTCTCACCCTTAAAATAATGTTGGTAATAATTATTGGGTTTTGACATAGATGCAGAGGGTGCTATTATCAAACTATCCTCCATCTTCTTCTTCATCTCCCCCACATCTGCTATTACCAAACAGTCGACGCCGACACCGACCATTTGTTGCATTTTTCGGTGATAGTTCACCTTCCATTGAACTGTGCGGTTTACCCTTTGCCTTGATTCATCTTTCCCAACTCAAATTTGGTCATTTTTAGGCCAAAATTGTCAATTTAAGTGACCAAAACCACCAACGCATAGCCGCCATCTCAAGCCAATCCAGCCTAATTCTAGCGTCATTTGATGCCCCCGACAACACCAACACAATCCCCTTAGCCCACTCACCAAAATCCCTTTCATCCCCCACCCAATGGCACCACCATTTGCCAACCACCACCTACTGTCTTAACACTGGGTTTCAAGCCTTTCTGGTCGAATCTATCAACGAAAATTGCCCTTCGATCCCACCATTAGCCTCACCAGAGTCCCCCCACCAAAACCTTCAACCTCCTCCACTATAATTGCGTGTCGACTGATGTAGCCAACTCCTTAGGATTTCGTGCAATTATCAAACCTTCCTAGCAAAATTTCGACCACTCCTGTCACCATAAATTCCCCCCACCACCGCCTTTTGCACCACCGGTGTTCCCTCTCAAAAACCCCCTATCATCCTCAGCCTCGATCGTGTCGACCACCTCTTCCCTTTGGGTTTTATGATTTTGGTGAATTTTGGGTTTGATTGGTGTTTGTTTCGGAGGTTTTTGAAAGGAGGTTGAGGTATGTGGTTGTTTGGAAGTTGATTGTGATTTATCTATAAGTGTTTGTGGTAATTTTTTATGGGTTTTAGGATTGATCCTGACTTCGGTGATTGAACAAGAGGGTGTGGTGGCGTTGGTTAGGCAGTGGATGGGAGAGATATTTTTATAAAAATGAAAATACTAAAATATAGTAAATGGCCATTTTATTCTTTAACTGTTAAAAACAAAAAAAAACCAAACAGTATTGATTTAAGGGTGTAAATCTAGAATTTATGAAACCGGGGGTGAGAACTTGTCATTTCACTAACCTTGCGTGGGAACATGTCATTTACTCAAATCTTATTTTTTATAGAGCAAACGACATGTTCTCACCTGAGATTTAGCCAAATCCCAAGTTTATACTCCTGGTTTCATTTATTATAAATTCTCACCCTTCAACTAACATTGTAAGTTAACTTTGAGTTTTGACTTCTGCAATTACCATCCGGCCCCCTTCACTTTTTATTTCACATTTTCACCCCACCCACCCACCATGACCATCACCATCCAGCCACCACCACCCACCAAACCCACTCGATCGCCGTCCAAACCCGATCTAGCTTAATTCTGAAATCGATTGACCAATCTAACACCACCATCAGGATTCTCTCATCTCCCACTACAAAACCCCTCTCATCTTCGACCACGTGTTGCCGCCATTTGTTGACCATCGCAATCTTTTTGTTCGCGTGCTTTAAGCAAAGTTTTGGTTGCTCCCAACACCGGAAATCAACCCCATTACTACCAATAGCTTCACCGGCATTCCAACTCAAAAACTACCAACAGCCCCAATCCTAATTCCCTGTCATTCACCGTCCGTTACTCCCTTTAGGGTTTTGTGATTTCGGTGAAAATTAAGATTAACTGGAGGTCAATTTAGGGTTTTATAAGGAGTTTGTGGGTGTGTGATTGATTGAAGGTTGATTACGTTGGTTTTTGAAGTGTTTTTATGTTGGATTGACTTTTGGGTGGGTTTGGAATGCGATGGTTTGGTTGCAAATTATAGTAGGTGGCGGCCAGTGATCGGGAAGCAATGATGGTTAGTGCTGGTAGGGGTTTTGTTTAGGAGGAAGTGGAGAGGCTAATAGTGGTGAGCGGTAGGATTTTGGAGCCGAAAAACCGTCGAAATCGAGCCTAATAGACTGTGACTTGGAGCCAGAAGTGAAAGGGTTTTGGAGAGGGAGAACCACCAGAATTAGAGCCGAAAGTGGATGGGTTTTAAAGGTGGCTGGGCGGGGTGAAAATGTGAAATAAAAAGTGAAGGGTAGGATGGTAATTGTACAAGTCAAAATTCAAAAGTAACTTACGGTATTAGTTTAAGAGTGAGAATCTGGAATAAATGGAATCGAGAGTATAAACTTTGGATTTGGCTAAACCTCGGGTGGAAACATGTCGCTTGCTCTTTTTTTATAAAGTTATTAGAGCATCTTCAATGGTGCTCTTTATTTTAAAGAGCATCTTCATTAATTTCTAAATATAAATAATAAAATTTTTATAAATTTGTATTCAAATCCAATGAACTCTTTAAATTAAATGAAGATGTTCTTTATTTTCAAGAAAAATACTTAATGGGAGATAGAATTAATAAATAAAATGCATATGAATATGTAGTTTATTAATTAAAATTAGGATAGAGAGTGAAATTTGACTCTCTAAATGTGGAGAGTCAAACTCACTCTTTAATTTATATTTAAAATATAAAGAATTTATTAGACTCTTGTTTTTATAGATAGACTCTTTATAATAAATAATTTTCATCATATAAAGAGTCATTTGGAAATGCTTCTACAGTATACAATGTGTTATACTTGTATTTGACTTTCACCGTTATAAAAACACTTGTAAATTGTTACTCAAATCATAACAAGCCACTAATACAACATTTGTTTATTTGAGCAGTAAAAATCTATTCCAACAAAGGCGGGAACTGTAAACTTTGAATTTGTTGGCAACCGGCTGTAACCGTAGGGCTGACCAAATATTTTGTTCTAAGTCAATACGGAATCTGTAATTTTTTTAACTATAAAATAAAATTTAAGTAATTAATAATTTATCGTTACCAAGGAATCACTCTTCATATTTTAAGGCGGGAACAAAATCCAATTTCCCTCCATAAATCTGTCTCCAGATCACGTTTTCTGTTATACTTTCACTCTCTCAGTCTGTCCAACAACAAAGTCCCAAATTATCAAAACCCCTAAAATCTTAGAAAACCCTAATTGTGCGAAATTAGTCTAATACTCTAATTCAATGGATCAATTAGCCGAGAAAGGCGAGCTTGAGGCCGGAAGAAGGAGCGTTCGGCGGAGGCTGGTTCAGTCGACGCTGTTTCCGCAGAAATCGCCAGAACAAGAATGTGACGGCGGAGATCAAAATGCCGACAAGGAATGTGAAGTGGAGGGTGATAATGAGGATGATCAAGAATTCTGTTGTGGTAGTCAGGGCAAGAAGATTAGAAAGCGAAAGGGAAAGGCAACGCCTCCGGCTACTAAAGCTTCTAAAATGGCAAGTTTACCTGCAATTACAAATCAGTTGTTATTTCATTGGATTAATTTAAAAAATAATGGATTAATTACATTTATTTTTATTTACAGATGAAAGAGAAATCTCCAAAGAACTCTACCCCGAAGAAAAACGGGAAGTCTCCAAAGAACACTACCCCGAAGAAAAACGGGGTTCGTAATGGGAAAGTATTGAGTAATGTAATGGAGAGTGAGGAGGCATCTCCGCCCATCCCTAATTTAAGACTAGAAGCTAAATTGACAGCTGAGGTCGGTAACAGTGCATTGCTTTGCTGTCAATAGTTTAATTAATTGTTTCAAATATTGTTGTCGTCTTGATCCTTTTGGCTAGATATTTATCCGTAATTAGCAAAAGTTGCGTGTTGAATGTTGTGTATGCTTATAATCAATTTGTCGGTCAAATTAGAAGCAATTATTGGAAATTGAGTTATAATAAGACTTTGGTTTTTGGTGTAATGAGTTAGATTTGTACAAATTTATCTTACCAGGCTATAGTGAGAGAGAACGAAAGCAAAGTAATGGAAGAAAAAGTGGATTATGCAGTAAATTGACCTCGTAAAAATCTTAACATTTAGTCACTTAATGATTAGAGGATGTAATACTCTTTTATGAACTTTATTACATCTTTGATTAGGAAAATACGCGGATGTTTGCCGGAAAGCAGATACATCCTTTTTTCGCAGTAAGGAAATCGGGAAAGAAAAATCTGGAGATGACTGAAGTAGACAGTAATTGTTGTTCAATTGGCAGAAAAGATAATACTATTGGTCCTATTCATGTATTTGAAAGGATTCAGGATGAAGTTGTGTCTATTAATTGGGGAAACTGGACCTTTTGCGAGAAAACATCTACCAGTGGAAGTTGTAGTCTGGAGGGCACAATCTCCTCTGTGTTTGAAAGCTCTGTGGAGTCCTTAAATTTTGAAAAGCTTCCCAGTGATTCACATCCTGGTGATGAGTCCCTTCTTCAAGATAAAGTGTCTTCGGATCGTTGTTGTATTAAAAAAGAACATGTGATTGAAACATCACCAAAAGTCTCGGTCATGGTAGTTGATGAGCAAGAGGCATGCTGTCAGATCTTGACTGGCTCAGATACGGTACATATAACAACATCTTAGTTTACATACATTCTTTCTTCTTCAGTTCCTGTTTTTCTGAATTACTTCTGCAAGGCATTTTCTATTAGCTCATTTGAATTTTCTGTTATGTACTTCATAAGTCATGCTATGATCTTGAGTCATTCTAGTGACATTGTTAGCAGGACCATCAGCTGGATGAAAATAGATTTCCTGGGAATGCTGCTTCTGTTAGAAAATCTGATGTGGAAGAGAAATTTATATTTCCTCAAGAAAGGTACGGATTTTCTGGGTAACAAACTTACTGGAAATCGTGTTTGCAGGAATCTCTTTAACCATCTGTATTTTATTTATTCATCTTTGGGACAAGAAACGCATTCTGTTTGTCAATTTAGCTTGATACTCACAAATACTTTTACAGTTTGTCTGAGTGCTTCTATTATTACCATGTAAACTGCTTTTAATAATTTTGTAGCTTACTTTTGATGTTCAGAATCATCCTGCTTTTAATAATTTTGTAGCTTACTTTTGATGTTCAGAATCATCCTGCTTTTAAGATCAAGATAAGGCTTTTGTGATTTTGTTTTTTTTTTCTTTTTTTTTTTTTTTTTCACTTAAAACAGATACTACTACAAAATTGCACCCTGGTACTAGTCTCAAGTTTTACTTGATACTAATTTGAAACATGATTATTCATTTAATGCATGTTTTTATTCATTTATGCACTTTTTTATTTTTTTTCTGTTATCAATTTCTGTGTTTGCACTGTGAAATCCATTGATTATATTGTTTTACTAGCAGGTTGATGTCGTACTATAATGGTTGTGGTAATCAGCCCAAGGTTAGCTTATGGACAGATAAATACCGGCCAAAAAATGCCACAGAGGTTAGCTATTTTGAATAAGCTAGTTCTTTTGATCCATTCTGGGGCTGAATCAGAAACAATTTCCTGCAGGTATGTGGTAATAATGAATCAGTAAAGTTTCTAAGTGATTGGCTGCATCTTTGGCGTGAAAGAGAATTTCGAACCATCAAAGATTCCTCCGGTAGTGACAAATGCAGTTTGCAAGATGATTATGAAATTGACTCTGATTCAGAAAATATAGATGAAGATGGCTTGAAGAATGTTCTTCTAGTTACTGGGCCTGTTGGGGTATGTTATATGTTTTGCTACTGTATTATCTTTAATCAATTACTATTTGAAGTTTGTATTGTGCTGTTTTCTGTTTGTGAACTTACAATGGGAACTGTCAAAATTGCATTTAATGAAGTATCTTCTTATCTTATGTTACGACTGGTGCAATGATATTTCTTTGAATACATGATAAGTTCGTGTTCAATATTTTTGAAGGTCCTTGATAGTTGGTTTTCTAGTCTATGAGGTTCACGAAAGTGATGTCTTTTTCCTTTTTTTTTTTTTTCATTCGGTTTTGATTTTAAATTATGAAAAAATGTACTATTTTGAGAAATTGCTTTGTCGATGATCGCAAATGGAATTGAGTATTTCAAACGTTTTGTTATAAAATGCAAAACACTTTCTGATATTCTTTGATAATTTGCATATCCATAGCTCAAGTAGTAATCCTCTTAGGTTTACATGCATTAGCTGATTGTGGGAACTGGGAAGGTAAGATCACATTGCTGTCCTTTGGTAATCTACATCTAGATTTCCTTTTTATTTCTTGAATGGACATATTTGCATTATGGAGTGATATATAATTACACTATTTTAATAATTGTTCAATGCAATACCTTTTGGTTTATATATGGGTGGTTATAGTGTGTCTTTCTTGTTGCAGAGTGGGAAATCTGCAGCTATTCATGCTTGTGCAGTTGAGAAAAGGTTCAAAGTTCTAGAGGTACTTCTAAATTTATGGAATATTGTTGAAACATTTTTACAATTTTGTTTGGCCAGCTTAATGATCCCAACATGAATAAACTACCAATCAAAACGCAAAGATAGTTGGGCATGTAGTGGAACTTTTAGATGCTTATTGAATATTATGTTCTTTTCACATAACCACCACTCAGATCCCTTTTATTATGTGCATTTTGGAACTGTACTTGAATCTGTAGTTTCTTTAGACTTGAAGGTTCTTTTTGGCTATTGGGAACTTTAACTGCAGGGGAAAGGAAATTGCAGAGTTCTTGAGAAACCCAATTTCGTAAGAAAATAGAATAACCTTTCATTCCATTACATACCCAAACCAAGGGGAACTGTACTTGCATTATTGCAAAAAAAGTCAGATATAACCGCTCTATTATTGTTCCGTATGGTTTGGGCCGTTTGGCAATATCCCTTTTTGGTATTCAGTGTGGATTCTTTCCTCCTATCATATGACTATCCTGTCATTTCACTAAATAAAAGGAGTGCAATATGATAGTTTAACAATGAGCTATTAAATGAAAAGTTAAATTTGAATTTGACTGATCTAGTGTGTTTTATAGAACAATGCATCAGATTGTCGATTTGGAGCCGTTGTGAAGCAGAAATTTGGAGAGGCTTTAGAATCACATTGCCTGGACAGGTTTGTCCCTTTATGATCTGCAGTGATGCTTTACTTTTTCTTCCTAGTAGTTCTACAGGCAATTGTTTATGAAAGATTGAAGCTCTTGCAAAAATCAATTATTAAGAATATAATTGTCTATCCGACATTATACAATGTATTTCTTCCAGGTCAATGGGAAATCCTCTGGATTTGCAGAATAAGAATATCATGGAATCTACCAATATTTTATGCAATGGTGAAGCATTGCAGCAAGTTGATGATGAGATGATCAAAGTGATACGTACATCAGATAAAGAAAATTCTCGTGAAGTCTTGGGAACTTTAGGGAAGTATGTCTGCAAAGAGAGAACTGTCTATGATAGAGCAGTTATTAAACCCTTGATTCTTTTTGAGGATGTGGATATCATTTTTGCTGAAGACCGTGGTTTCATTGCCGCCATTCAACAAATTGCAGAAAAAGCTAAGGGGCCTGTAATATTGACTAGCAATAGTAAGAGGACATTCTGTTTAAAATTATTTTCATTTTGTCTACTTTCATATAGTTTCATGTTGTTGCTCATTGTTTGTGTTAATACCCAGGTAATGATGTCATTCTGCCGGACAATTTGGACAGGTTCGAAATATCTTTCACCATGCCATCGCCAAAGGATCTGCTTTCCCATTTGTTTATGGTATGTGCTTCTACTGCTATTTTTTTTTGGCTGTGCTTTCGCTTATGGAAGTTTATAATCACTTGACTTCATTCTGTTATTGCTCTATAGATCTGTGCCGCTGAGAAAGTGGACATTGAACGTCATTTACTGGAGCAGTTGATTGAATACTGTGATACAGATATCCGGAAAACCATTATGCATATCCAGTTCTGGTGCCAGAATAAAAGATCTGGAAAAGGTTAATCATGCAACACATGTATGCATTCTTGGATAGTACAGGCATGCATGCTTATTATTGTTTTTTGCTTTATTTGTTGTTTCCCCAAATTATAGATCTGGCAATTAGTTCCCGTTACTGCTACTTCAAGAGATCTCATACAACCGTCTTCGATGGTTTTCTTTCCTTTTCTATTTAGTTTGGTTCGTGTGTGGGAGTTTGTTGATGAGTAGATCAATCATAAAAGAATCCATTCAGTTTGTATGATGGATTTGTGCCTGCAAAGGCTTTTCCCAAACATTCCGAATGGTTTCTGTTATGCTTTGTTCAAATGCTTGCCTGTTGCATGAAAATCACAAAAACCTCTGATCAAATACATGATTTGCATGCATAATAATTTTTTTTTTTTTCCAGTCATTAACATTGTATAGGCTCTAGAGAAAAGGCCTAACTTTTAACATTAACTTATTCAATTTTCAGATAAAATAATGCAGAAAGTGTGTTGTCCACTACTATTTGATGCTGACGCTGGCCATCAAATGCTTCCAAAGATAATCCCTTGGGATTTCCCATCTGAGTTATCTGAACTGGTTGAGAAGGAGATCTCTAAGTCGCTATCCTTGATGGAAGAAAATACAATTTTGAGGGAGTTAGCAGAGGGGGAAGGACATAAGCAAATGCTAAGTAGGCAGGATATGCATAATATTGAAACAGACAGCATAGAGGCCAAGAAGAAAGCAATGTTAAGCTTGAATTGCTCTGTTCACACTAACAATGAATTCGAAGATCCTCCCAATACTGCCTGTGGGCTTTCCAGTTTCCCTGGTACCCCAGTTTCATTTGCTCGGCGAGACATTAGGAGAAAAGTGAATGTAGTTACATCTTCTGATTCTGAAGATGATCTCTTCCTTGATAGATGTCCTCCAATGGCAGAGAAGAGTACTAACAAAGAATTATACCATGAAGATTATAGTAGTTTTCATTTTTCAAATACACAAAACTGCATAAAACCACCAACTGACAAGCTACTTCATTCTGAAGCAGAAAACATTGAGGAAAACCATAATCAATGTTCAGAAATAGCAAACAACAGCTATATTAATGGTACATGCAAATCAGTTGATATATCAGGTGTGCCAGAATCAACAATTGTTCCAGAAACCGAAATTGTTGATGGAGTAGAGTTGTTATCCGGGACAGTGTGTAGTGGTGATGTTGCTGAAACTGTAGAAGTTTCTGTGGGAAATGGGTTTGATCTTAACCTTGCACCTGTTGAAGCTGATTATGAATCTCCAGTCAGATTACCTGAATTTTCAGATATGTTGGGAAATATTTGTGATCTTGCAGAACCATCTCAAGGAGAGGATGTGGAAGATTCCCAAAACGAACATGGGGAGGCTGTGTCGAGAGGGTATCAAGTTTTGGATGAGTGTAGCCGCATAGATTTTGAGAAGAGATCTGAACCCATGGAGAAGCATAGGTGCTGTTTGGCAGTTGATCAAGTAAAAGAATCATGGAGTAAACTTCGTCACAGCCAAATAGACCTAAAACAGTATGTCACCTCAGAAAAGACAGATGCTTTTCAAATTGTAAAACTTGCTAATGGGATGTGCAAACTAATTTCTGATTCTGATCTGTTACTTTCAAAGTGCCAAACTCTAGTAAGTTATATGACACTATAAAGGATCTTTTCCTTTTACTTTTTTCATATGTGGTTCATGATAATGATTTGGTACTTCTGCAGGACTATTTGGAAGTGTCAAAGTTTCCTTGTGAGGAATCAGATTCATCCAGCTGGCGTGATGAACACTCACAGATGACTTCCACAATAGCACAGCATGGATTCCACTTTGCTGCAAAAAGTGTTTCAACTGTAGGATCAAATCTAGCCGCTGACAGAATGAAGGATTTGAGTTGGGAAATGTTTTCTTGCACAACTAATATGATGGCATCCGGTAAATTACCCAAAAGTAAAGCATTGTCAGAAAGGTACATCCATATACCTTCATGCTTGTAATATCATTTGCATGTTTTGAACATTTTGACTGGGATGAACCATGAATCCAATCTGTGTGCTTCCTACCTCTTGACAGATGGGAGACATTTTGGAGAACAGGGCTTAAGTATTCAACTTTTTCTAACCTGTTGTATTATGTAATAAAGCTGCATACATGAGTGTTTCTTGAATGAGATTATACAGTTGTGTGTGTTAGAAAATTTACATACCATGCTTCACTTGTGCTATAGCATCATTTCTTTATGCGTGTGTGATCATAATTGCAAACGCATGTTCCATTTCCATTTCAATTCATTTAAGCTAAAATTTGTTGTAAATGTAGTTTTATTAACACTTTTATTTTTTTATCAATACAAGCTGGTAGTATATGCATTTCGTTGATATAATGTAATCACACCTGTAACTTCTTTGGTTGTCTGCAATGCAGTGAGGTGAAGTCAAGTCTTTTCAATACAATTAAGTCCATAGTTCCAAGGAAATCTTACTTAGCACTGAAAGGTGATGCATTTCATGAATATCTTTCTTCATTGGGCTGCATTTCAAGATCAGAAACTTCTCGTTTATCAGAACTCAAGAATAAGACAAAGAGACGGAGGTACTTTTGATCTCTGCTTGGCATTCTTGCAAAATTCTAATAAATTAAAAATTATTCATATACAATCTTGGCTGTAGCGTTCAATTTAGTGGCATAATTTTGTGTTGCAGGGCTCGAGGTGCTCGGCATTATTTGAGTACTGGTGCACTAATGTTGTCTCCTGAAGATATTTCAGTGCTGGGTCAATCTAACTTATATGGGAAGAATTGATCCCAAATTAAGGATGATGGTAGTTTCAGATAGAGAATAATCAAATCTAATCTAACTAACCTTTTGAATTTTACTAAAATTTAGTTGGCTTGGCTGAATTTCCACCAGATAGTAGAAAAATGCACAGACGTGGTATCGGAAACTGATCACAGTTCATTGAAGAATGAATTTGCAGGCAATTGCCAACCATGACGTTATCTGGGATGTGATTCCATCCTTTTGATTCATTGTATAGTTGACAGTTAAAGCGTTCTCCTTGTATTGATAACAGTATTTAAAGCAAAATGATATTCAAATACAAAGTATTTGAATTATAGTATCATCTCCAAATGTTTCCATAATAATGAATAAGCATGCAGAAACCTTATTAGTAAACACATATTGCCAATCGAAGGTTTAGCGAAATAGAAAGTTTTCACCCTGATTACATAATTTCAAATTCTCACCCTTAAAATAATGTTGGTAAAATTATTGGGTTTTGACATAGATGCAGAGGGTGCTATATCAACTATCCTCCATCTTCTTCTTCATCTCCCCCACATCTGCTATTACCAAACTCGACGCCGACACCGACCATTTGTTGCATTTTTCGGTGATAGTTCACCTTCCATTGAACTGTGCATTTACCCTTTGCCTTGATTCATCTTTCCCAACTCAAATTTGGTCATTTTTAGGCCAAATTGTCAATTTAGTGACCAAAACCACCAACGCATAGTCACCATCTCAAGCCAATCCAGACTAATTCTAGCGTCATCTGATGCCCCTGACAACACCAACACACTCCCCTTAACCCACTCACCAAAATCCCTTTCATCTCCCCCAGAATGGCACCACCATTTGCCACCACCACCTATGTCTTAACACTGGGTTTCAAGCTTTCTGGTCGAATCTATCAACGATAATTGCCCCCGACCCCACCACTAGCCTCACTACGTCCCCCACCAAAACCTTCAACCTCCCCCACTATAATTGCATGCCACTGATGTAGCCAACTTCTTAGGATTTCGTGCAATTATCAAACCTTCCTAGCAAAATTCTGACAGCTCCTGTCACCAGAATTCCCCCCCCACCACGGTGTTCCCTCTCCAAAACCCTTTAACATCCTTAGCCTTGATCGTGTCGACCCAGCTCTTCCTTTGGGTTTTGATTTGGTGAATTTTGGGTTTGTTTTGGAGGTTTTTGAAAGGAGGTTGAGATATGGGGTTGTTTGAAGTTGATTGTGATTGATCTAGAAGTGCTTGTGGTAATTTTTTATGGGTTTTAGGATTGATCCTGACTTCGGTGATTGAACGAAGGTGTGGTGGCGTTGGTTAGGCAGTGGATGGGAGACATATTTTTATAGAATGAAATACTAAAATATAGTAAATAGCCATTTTAGTCTTTAACGTTAAAATAAATAAAATAAAAACAGTGTTAATTTAAGGGTGTGAAAAAAAATTTATTAAACCGGGGTGAGAACTTGTCATTTCACTAACCTGCGTGGGAGCATGTCGTTTACCAAATCTTATTTTTTATAGAGCAAACGACATGTTCTCACCTGAGATTTATCCAAATCCCAGTTTATACCCTGGTTCATTTGTTATAGATTCTCACCCTTAAACTAACATTGTAAGTTAACTTTGATTGATTTTGACTTGTATTACCATCCGCCCCTCACCTTTTATTTCTCATTTTACCCACCACCCACCCACCATCACCATCACCATCCAGCACCACCACCCACCAAACTCACTCGATCGCCGTCCAAACCGATCTAGCTTAATTCTGAAATCGATTGACCAATCTAACACCACTATCGGGATTCTCCATCTCCCACTACAAAACCCCTCTCATCTTCGACCACGTGTTGCCGCACTTGTTGACCATCGCAATTTTTTTGTTCGCATGCTTTAAGCAAAGTTTTGTTGCTTCTGACACCGAAATTAACCCCTTACTACCAATAGCTTCACGGCATCCCACCTCAAAAATGCCAACAAACCCAATCCTAGTTGCCTATCGTTCACCGTCCACTACATCCCTTAGGGTTTTGCATTTCGATGAAAATTAAGTTAATTGGAGGTCAATTTAGGGTTTTACAAGGAGTTTGTGGGTGTTGATTGATTGGAGGTTGATTACGTTGTTTTTGAAGTGTTTTTTATGTTGGATTGACTTTTGGGTGGGTTGGAATGCGATGGTTTGGTCGCAATTATAGTAGGTGGCGGGCAATGATCGGAAGCAACGATAGTTAGTGCTAGTAGGTTTTGTTTAGGAGAAGTGAAAGGCTAATAGTGGTGATGGTAGGATTTTGGATAGGAAAACCGTCGAAATCGAGCCTAAAGACTGTGACTTGGAGCCAGAAGTGAAAGGGTTTTGGAGAGGGAGAACCACCAGAATTAGAGCCGAAAGTGGATGGGTTTTAAAGGTGGCTGGGCGGGGTGAAAATGTGAAATAAAAAGTGAAGGGTAGGATGGTAATTGCACAAGTCAAAATTCAAAAGTAACTTACGGTATTAGTTTAAGAGTGAGAATCTGGAATAAATGGAATCGAGGTATAAACTTTGGATTTGGCTAAACCTTGGGTGGAAACATGTCGCTTGCTCTTTTTTATAAAGTTGTAGAACATCTCCAATGTGCTTTTTATTTTAAAGAGCATCTTCATAATTTTTAAATATAAAGAATAAAATTTTATTCAAATCCAGCAGACTCTTTAAATTAAATGAAGAGTTCTTTATTTTCAAGAAAAATACTTATGGAGAAAGAGAATTAATAAATAAAATGCATAGGAATTGTAGTTTATTAATTAAATTAGGATAAGAGTAAAATTTGACTCTCTAAATGTGAAGAGTCAAACTCACTATTTAATTTATTTAAAATATAAAAGTTTATTAGACTCTTATTTTATAGATAGACTCTTTATAATAAATAATTTTGATCATATAAATAGTCATTGAAAATGCTACCACATATACAATGTTCTATACTTATATTTGACTTTCACCGTTTATAAAACACTTGTAATTGTTACTCAAATCATAACAAGCCACTAATACAACATTGTTTATTTGAGCAGTAAAAATCTAGCCAACAAAGGCGGGAACTGTAAATTTGAATTTGTTGGCAACCGCTTAACCGTAGGGCTGACCAATATTTTGTTCTAAGTCAATACGGAATCTGTAATTTATTTCTATAAAAAAATTTAAGTAATTATAATTTATCGTTAATCACTCTTCTATTTAAGGCGGGAACAAAATCCAATTTCCCTCCATAAATCGTCTCCAGATCACGTTTTTGTTATACTTTCACTCTCTCAGTCTGTCCAAAACAAAGTCCCAAATTATCAAAACCCCTAAAATCTTAGAAAACCCTAATTGTGCGAAATTAGTCTAATACTCTAATTCAATGGATCAATTAGCCGAGAAAGGCGAGCTTGAGGCCGGAAGACGGAGCGTTCGGCGGAGGCTGGTTCAGTCGACGCTGTTTCCGCAGAAATCGCCAGAACAGAATGTGACGGCGGAGATCAAAATGCTGACAAGGAATGTGAAGTGGAGGTGATAATGAGGATGATCAAGAATTCTGTTGTGGTAGTCAGGGCAAGAAGACTAGAAAGCGAAAGGGAAAGGCAACGCCTCCGGCTACTAAAGCTCTAAATGGCAAGTTTACCTGCAATTACAAATCAGTTGTTATTCATTGGATTATTTAAAAATAATGGATTATTACATTTATTTTTTCTACAGATGAAAGAGAAATCTCCAAAGAACTCTACCCCGAAGAAAACGGGAAGTCTCAAAGAACACTACCCCGAAGAAAAACGGGGTTCGTAATGGGAAAGTATTGAGTAATGTAATGAGTGAGGAGGCATCTCCGCCCATCCCTAATTTAAGACTAGAAGCTAAATTGACAGCTGAGGTCGGTAACAGTGCATTGCTTTGCTGTCAATAGTTTAATTAATTGTTTCAAATATTGTTGTCGTCTTGATCCTTTTGCTAGATATTATCCGTAGTTAGCAAAAGTTGCGTGTTGAATGTTGTGTATGGTTATAATCAATTTATCGGCAAATTAGAAGCAATTATTGGAAATTGAGTTATAATAAGACTTTGGTTTTGGTGTAATGAGTTAGATTTGTACAAATTTATCTTACCAGGCTATAGTGAGAGAGAACGAAAGCAAAGTATGGAAGAAAAAGTGGATTATACAGTAAAGTTACCTCGTAAAATCTAAACATTTAGTCACTTAATGATTAGAGGATGTAATACTCTTTTATGAACTTTATTACATCTTTGATTAGGAAAATACGCGGATGTTTGCCGGAAAGCAGATACATCCTTTTTTCGCAGTAAGGAAATCGGGAAAGAAAAATCTGGAGATGACTGAAGTAGACAGTAATTGTTGTTCAATTGGCAGAAAAGATAATACTATTGGTCCTATTCATGTATTTGAAAGGATTCAGGATGAAGGCTGTGTCTATTATTGGGGAAACTGGACCTTTGGCGGAAAACATCTACCAGTGGAAGTTGTAGTCTGGAGGGCACAATCTCCTCTGGTTTGAAAGCTCTGTGGAGTCCTTAAATTTTGAAAACTTCCAGTGATTCACATCCTGGTGATGAATCCCTTCTTCAAGATAAAGTGTCTTCGGATCGTTGTTGTATTAAAAAAGAACATGTGATTGAAACATCACCAAAAGTCTCGGTCATGGTAGTTGATGAGCAAGAGGCATGCTGTCAGATCTTGACTGGCTCAGATACGGTACATATAACAACACTTAGTTTACATACATTCTTTCTTCATCAGTTCCTGTTTTTCTGAATTACTTCTGCAAGGCATTCTCTATTAGCTCATTTGAATTTTCTGTTATGTACTTCATAAGTCATGCTATGATCTTGAGTCATTCTAGTGACATTGTTAGCAGGACCTCAGCTGGATGAAAATAGATTTCCTGGGAATGCTGCTTCTGTTAGAAAATCTGATGTGGAAGAGAATTTAATTTCCTCAAGAAAGGTACGATTTTCTGGGTAACAAACTTACTGGAAATCGTGTTTGCAGGAATCTCTTTAACCATCTGTATTTTATTTTTCATCTTGGGACAAGAAACGCATTCTGTTTGTCAATTTAGCTTGATACTCACAATATTTTACAGTTTTTTCTGAGTGCTTCTATTATACCATGTAAACTGCTTTAATAATTTTTGAGCTTACTTTTGATGTTCAGAATCATCCTGCTTTTAAGATCAAGATAAGGCTTTTGTGATTCCTTTTTTTTTTTTTTTTCATTACAACAGATACTACTACAAAATTGCACCCTGGCACTAGTCTCAAGTTTTACTGTACTA